TCTCCACTCCAATGAGACAACAACAGTGTTGTAACATTTCCCTATGACGAAGTTTTTTTCACTTGTTTGGATTTTTTAATGACGTGGGGAGTAAAAACAGTTAATAAGGCTGCTATTCATTTCCATCTATTGTAATTTCTTTTACTAATTACAAAAAACCTAAAAAACCAGAACAAATTCATCCCTTTAGTAGGATAAGTTCTGAGCTATCAAAACACAGGAAGACAGCCCTAGAATTATACTAAACATAAATTAATAAATAAATGCACTGAATGTCTTACTTCTAGTAAGCACTGAGCTAAAGGGATCACAAAGCATTATCAGGAAGTTGAAACAACTAAACTGAAATATTCTTACACCAATATATACACCCATGGGATGTTTACATCTCATACTCCGAGAAAGGTTTAGTCAAAAGCAGAATAGCTAACTGGAAAAGATCCAGAAACTTGGGATCAGCATAAAAAGAGAAGTGTATGGCTACAAAACCCATGAAATAAAAGATCTTTAGCCTACAAGGAGACGCAGCCAAAGAGTGAATACCCCGTGATTTAGCAGAACTCTAAAGTCACAAGTAGCATGGGGAAGATGAGCACCGTGATTCGCACAGCACGAGAGGCAGAAATTAACAAGTTACCTGAAGGCAGGCTCGACACACCACACCCCAAAGAAAATCAGATGTTTGTTTTGGCTCTTCACCGATTTAGTTACTGCGAGGAAGCACCTCCGAACATCACGGGCACCAGCAGCTTACTCGGATTTCAACAGCCACCGAGCAAACTCATCAAGGGCACACTCATCAGGGGTTACCAGGCAGAACGACATTCCCTCAACTCCGGCGGTCCCGGAAACTGCTGGAAGGCAGGAGCCCGTGCGACAGGAGCGTCACCCCGCCTTGCTCCGCCAGCCCAGCCCAGGGCCGAGCGCCGGCACCTCAGAGGTGCTCTCCCGAGCGGGAGCGGCGGGTCCCTGACCCCGGAGCAGACGAAGGGGCGCGGCCCGTCCCCAGGACCCCCGCCCGGTACCTGCGGCCCCCGCGGTCCCCGCCCATACCTGCGGCGCCTCAGCCTCGCTGCCCCACCCAGCACCTGCACGCCCCCAGCGCAGCGCGGTACCTGCGGCCCCCGGCCCCGCTGTCCCGCCGCCCCGCGGTCACCGCCCGCCGTCCCTACGGGCCCCGCTCGGCGCCGCCGGACCCGGGCGACGCCATCTTGTCTGGGCCCCGCCGGCGGGATGGCGTCACGCTGTGGCGTCACCTGCGCCCGCCGGGCCAATCGGGAGCGGCGAGGGGGGTGACGTCAGCGCAGCAGTGAGGGGCGGGGCGAAGGCAGAGCCACGCCTCCCTCGGGGGCGGGGCCAGGCCAGGGAGTGTCCGTGTGTCTGTCCCTGTCCGTCCGTCCGTGTGTCCGTCCGTGTGTCTGTCCGTGTCTGCCCTGTCCGTGTGTCCGTCCGTGTGTCTGTCCGTGTGTCCGTCCGTGTGTCTGTCCGTGTCTGTCCCTGTCCGTGTGTCCGTCCGTCCGTCCGTCTGTCTGTCGCTGTGTCCGCCCGTCCGCCCGTCCGTCTGTCCGTGTCTGTCCCTGTCCGTGTGTCCGTCCGTGTGTCCGTCCGTGTGTCCGTCCGTGTGTCCGTCCGTGTGTCCGTCCGCGTCCGTGTGTCCGTCCGTGTCCGTCCGTGTCTCCGTCCGTGTCTCCGTCCGTGTCCGTGTGTCCCGTCCGTGTCCGTGTCTCTGTGTGTCTGTCCGTGTCCGTGTCCCCGTCCTCTCTGTGTCTGTGTCTCGTCCGTGCCCGTGTCCCCTCCATGTCTGTGTGTCCGTCCGCGTGTCTGTCCGTGTCCATGTCCGTGTGTCTGTCCGTGTCCGTGTCCGTGTGTCTGTCCCTGTCCGTGTCCGTGTGTATGTCCATGTGTCTGTCCGTGTCCGTGTCCGTGTGTCTGTCCCTGTCCGTGTCCGTGTCCCTGTCCGTGTCCGTGTGTCTGTCGTGTCTGTCCGTGCCCTTGTCCGTACGTGCCCGTGTCCCCGTTCCCGTCGCTGTCGCCTGCCTTTGCCAGCCGCTGACGCTGTCCCTGTCCCATCCCCGTCCCGTCCCATCCCCTTACCAGCCGCTGTCCGTGTTGCATCCCTCACTGTGCCCTGTTCCATCGCTGTCCCAGCCCCTGTCCCTGCCCTTGCCTGTCCCCTCCCCGCCCTTGTCCCCGCCCCTGCCCCTCCCGCCCCTGTCCCTGCCCCTGTTGCTGCTCCTGTCCCTGTCCCTGTCCGCGTCCCCGTCCCTTTGCCTGTCTCTGCCCCATTCCCTGTCCCCGCCCTTGTCCCTGTCCGTGTCCCTGTCCCTGCTCCGGTCGCTGTTTCCGTTCCCCGCTCCTGCCCTGCCCGGGAGCTCCCGCAGCGCCTCCCGCCCCTGTCCCAGCTGCGGTCGTGCCAGGGCTCCCAGGGCTGGGTGAAGGTGCCGAGTGGGACACAGAGAGGCCAGTTCATCCCACACCTTCAGCCCCTTCCCTCTGCAGCCACGGCCACCTCGCCCTCCCCAGGGCCTCAGGGGGCATTCCCGATGGGTTTTCGGCCCTTTGAGCAGTCCTTGTTCTGAAATTGAGGGGTTTTGTCCAAAATGGATGTGGTATTTTTGTATGTGGTGGATTTGTATGTGAGGGTGGATACGGAGAGAGGAGTTAATCATGGTAAATCACCACTGAAAACGGCCAAACTGGAATTACTGCTTGTATCCTCAGAGGACACTGGAAAGCCTGAGAGGTTCTTTTACGGTTTCTTTTCCAGTTTGGCTTCTCACAGCACCCTTGTCTTTGGGGTTGGCTGGATGAAAACAGAATAAAGGTCATAAAACCCATGTTGCATCAGGAAAATGTGAGCTGATTCCGTGTGACTTGAGGCACCATCGGATATCTGGTGATCAGAAGCTGGCATTTTCTTAAAGCCAAGCTGCATGTCACATGTTGTCCTTGTTCCACTACTCAGCAATACCACTGGCAGGTAGTGACTGCTGGGTCTGGATCATGTGAAATCACAGAAAAAGAGTGTATGAGCCATGTGGGAAAAAGGATGAGTGAAAAAGCACTCATCCTTCCACACGATCTCAAAGGGGTACCATGAAATGCAAATACACACAAATGTTATCTCTAACTCCCCAGCAGTAAAGTGATTTCCCAGGTGGAATGTGTGGGGAAGCATGGGAAATTCAGGACTCCTGGACAACTAACCAACATGATTAAGCAGAAGCCGTTTATTGTTTACATTACACACATATTTATAGGTTCTACAAACTACTGAGTACACACTGCTTGATTGGTGCCTGTGTCTTGTTTGCTCGTTTTCTGCCTGCACTCCTCAGAGCGTGCTGTTTGCTGCAGCCCAGGTGTTTCAGCCCTGTTATCTAGTTCTTGTGGTCTTGCTATTTGGTTTCTCAGCCTCTTCTTTCTTGCTTTAGCAGAGTTTATGTTTCAGTGGCCTTGATGGCTTCCTGAGGCTTTGATAACTAGCTCAGAAGCAGGCTGGCTGGTGCACGCCATGGCCTAGCCCTTGGGAATACATCGCAGCAGGAGAGTGACTGGGGGTAAAATGAGAGAAAACCAGGGAGTTACATTCACATTCCAGCAGAAGTCAGCACAGGAAACAGAGGGTGAAGCGCAGCCACGACTCCCTGGGCGGGATGTGGTCAGCATGCCCAACTTCCCACACACAATCCATGCTAAAGGTGACTGAAGGGAGGGAGGAGCGGAGAGGGGACACCAGGGCCAGCTCTGTTGGAATCCTGGCAAGAGGGGGAACTCAGTGGTGCAGATAAACTGCACAGCAGCTGAAAAACAAGGGGAAGAAGGACGTGCCTTGCTGCTGAGCCAGCTGCTGAGGTGAGATCAGAAATGCCCACCTCAGTCCCAGAGGCTCCCGAGGTGTGACACTGACATTACCCACCTGCAGGGTACAACCACCCCACACTGGACATGATGCATGACTGGAGTTACTCTAGTAAAAACAGAGTAACTAGCGCAAAAGTAGTATAAAAGTGAGTTAAGAATGGGGAGAAGTTAGGTTCCACTGTAGCTTCTGGGATCGACTGACTGGGCTGAACCAGACAGAACTGTACTCTGTGTATGGTGTTTGTTTATCTCAATTGCCCTCAATTCGTTTTTGCAGCCAGATCCTGTCACCAGCAATCTTTACACCTTAACCTGTCACAGTTTTCTGTTACATTTATAAAATATTAATGTTCTGTAAGCTGTCCTTCAAGGTGTGAATCCTTCAAGAGCATTAACAGTGTGTAAAATACTTGAGTGTGCAGCAGCGGGTCTCTCTAATGCTTTTGGTGTACACTCCTGGATTTTTCCTGGAGTGCCAAGAGACCAGCTAAAGGCGTGTAAAAACCCTCAAAGGGGTTTTTGTGTTTCTATGTGACTCTGAAAAAGTCAGCTCAACCACCTTCTCATCCAGCGGACTATTCAGTGAGTTGGAAGAATTGGAAGAATTGGAGTTTGGAAGAATTTCTTCACAGAATGAGTGATTAGACTTGGGGAATGAGTTGCTTAGGGAGGTGTCACAGTTCTGGAGATCTTTAGGGAAACACTGGGCATGGCAGTCAGTGCCAGGGTCAGGTTGACAGGGTGGTGTTCACTCACAGGTTGGACTGGGTGAGCTTACAGGCCTTTTGCAGCCTAACTGATTCTCTGATTCTGTCCCCATCGTGGGAACCCTGACAGACTGGTCGGGCACAAGTGTCTCGGCTTTCCTGGGGCGCTGGCAGTCTGATCAAACACGGAGGGTTTGGGGAAATCTCCGTTTCCTGGGAAGGATTCCCGAATCCCCACCTTGTACTGAGCCCGCCTCGCCGCTAGGGGGCGCCACACCCCACCACGCTCTTCTGCTGCCATGGCAACGGAAGAGGGGGCGGGGCCAGCCTGCCGTCCGGTTGCTAGGCAACAGGGCACCAGGAGGAGGGGGCGGAACCGCCGCCGCAAAGCTGCGGCTCGACTGTCGTAAAAAGGGAAAAAACAGGAACGGCCGTGGTGCTGTAAAATGCCGTGAGGCGCGGCCGGCGGGGCCTGAGGGACAGCGGCAGGGCCCGGTCCCGCTCCATATGCCCCGAACCGCCCCGAGCCGCTCCATGTGGGGCCGCCCCTCGCCCGCATCGCCCTCAGCCTTCCACTATGGCCCGGAAAACAGTTAGCAGGAAGCGGAAAGCGGCGGCGGCTGCCGCCGCGGGGACCGGGGGACTCCAGGGGGAGCAGGTAAGGGGTAAGGTGGGGGGGTAGGGGAAAAGCGCCGGTTCCCGGAGGTGGGAGAGGGAAAAGCGCCGGTTCCCGGTAATGGGAAGGGGAAAAGCGCCGGTTCCCGGAGGTGGGAAGGGGAAAAGCGCCGGTTCCTGGTAATGGGAAGGGGGAAAGCGCCGGTTCCCGGAGGTGGGAATGGAAAAGCGCCGGTTCCCGGGGCCGGCCGTGCCGGTGGCCGGTGCGCAGGGGGTGACCGTGTCCGGGATGGGGAAGGAAGGTGTCCCGGGGCGCTGGGGCTCCCGGGGAGGGGCAGCCCCGGTGCCGGTGGCAGCCAGGGCCGGTCTGGGTGTCCCCCCACGCGGGGCAGCCCCGGTGCCGGGGTCGGTGCCGCTCTGTGCCCGCGCCCGGCTCGCGGTGCCCCGTTGGGCTCGGCCGTTGTTGGCCGCTCGCGGCCGCGCAGCGATGATGGCCGGATGGCTCTGGCCCGGCCGGAGGAGGCCGAGCGCCGCGGTCGGTACCGGGGAGTCACCCGGGTGTCACCCCTGCCGAGGCGAGGGCGAGGGCTGTGTGCGCTGCCCCCATCCCGTGCCAGGCGCTCCGCTTCTCCCCGTGGGCGTTCGGCGTGCCAGCGGCGCCGAACCGCCCCGGGCTGCCGTTGTGTTATGGCCGAGTCGCTCCTTTAGTGGATGTTTGTGTTTAATTTCACGCTGAAATGCTCTGTCAGCATTCCCATGTTAATTTCCGTGCGCGTTTCAGGGTTTTGCCGGGAATGTCGTTGCATTTGAAAGGGTGGTGTCTTAAAGTTTGTTTTAGTTGCTTTATCCAGTGTCTAACTTTATTGTCCACAGTACGGGTGGGATCACTCTCTTCACAAAAGGAAAAGGCTCCCGCCGGTGAAAAGGTCTCTAGTGTACTACGTGAAAGGGAGAGAGGTCCGGATGCAGAATGAGTCCAGCTACCACCGCTTGTTGCATGGATACGCAGCCCAGCAGCTCCCCAGCCTCCTGAAGGAGAGGGAATTTCACCTCGGGACACTCAATAAAGTGTTTGCCTCCCAGTGGCTAAACCACCGACAAGTGGTGTGCGGGACAAAATGCAACACGGTGAGTGCCACCTCTCGCTGTTTCCCTTTCCTCTGTTAATTATTCCACCTCCACCCTCAAATGATGCTTGTCGTAATCAAAGTGTGTGAATGACCAGGAAAAACATTAGGAATTAGGAGTGGAGTCAAAATCGAGGCCGATTAACTTTGAATGAAAGCAGTGCTTAAGGACAATCAGCAATGCTTAAGGACTGATCTGTTCTCATCTGAATCTGTGGCACTGTGAGCCCCAGCGAGGCACCTCTGGGAGCATCTGTGTGGTGTTACAGAGCGATTTACGCCTGGTTCCGGGATGAAGAGCAACAGTGGGATTGGATCTTTCCTTTTGTCCTGCAGATGAGAAGCTAATGGACAGATATCAGCGTCTCTAATGGTGGCTGTCAGTACTTGGCCAAACTTGCTGCTAAAGTTCCTTTTTTCTGTTCCGCTCAGTCTTACACAGTTTGGTTTTACATATGGTTCTGTGCTGATGGCTTTTAAAAGTTGTTGTAAAACTGTGGTTAAACTCCAGGTATTTGTCAGAGCCAGAAGTGTTCTGAGCTTAAAAAAAAAATAATTCAGATCTTTAGTGTTGCTTGTTGACTTCATAATTCTTAACTCTAAAAGTGTTTCCAGTGTTTGTATACCTTCTCTGGTTTGTATCTTTACACGCTTCTACAAAAACTGAGAACTCCTCAGGTTCTTAAAGTGATGCTTTGAAACATTTCAGGGGCGTATTAAAATGGTGTCCTGTGGGATTAGTAAATGGGGAGATCATATTTCATAGATAATATTCACCACAGTAGCCCAAGTTCATTGGCTGAGGTTGCAATTTCATGCTAGGAGTTGTGATTGAATTAGTGCAGAATCCTAAATTGCAAGTTAGTTGCTGCCACAGAAGGGAATCGAGGGTGACAAGGAACGAATGCATAGGTGTAGCAGCTCTTAAATCTCAGAGTGTATCAGTTGCTGCAATTTCTTCTTTGCCTCAAGATCTTTCTGTGCCAAAGCCATGCTCAGTGGTCTGACCATCAAGGGTCAGTGGGCTGGTTTTTTTCCATTTCTGATGAAACATTCTGAGATGTCCTGTTATTATTCACGGTTGCACAGGGGGAGGCTTTTATGCAGTAGCTGTTAAGAAGCAGGGCCAAACTGTATAAACAAAGCAATCTTTTAACAGCAATAAGCTCAAAATAGAATTTCTCTGCCTACTTTCTCCACATATGTTCATCTCCTCAGCCAGTCAGCAGCCAGCACTGGTTGTGGTTGTAGAGTTGCTTACAGGAGACAAACTCCTGCTGAAACACAAGCTCCCAAAAATCTTGCTTACTCTAGTGAGATGGCTGTGTTTTATAGAGTGGCCACGATTTTGCTGTGTTCTGTAAATCTGTAGCTCGGGTGCAACTGCAGCGAAGATAAATGGGCAGGTGGGTTGTTAATGCAACCTTGCAGAAAATTGTTTGGAACCAAACAATCGTGAAGCTGAGGAGGGATTCAGTAGTATTGTTCCCTTTGCACATGCTGCAACCAAGTGAGTTTGTCCACAGCCAGACTTAATGTTAGAGACAGACCTCCTCTGTCATTGAGCAAAATAGAGTGATTGCAAAAGAAGTCCAGGAAGCATTGTGAAGATCCTATATGAATTATGACTGCTGTAATGGCTGTACCTTGTTTGCTTTGTGCTCACATTTGAACAAGTAAAGCATTAAACTCTACACTCTAATTACGAGATTTTTCTCTCTCATCTCCTGAGTGAGTGAGTGACCTATTAAAGAAAAATGCCTTTGCTGACTCTCATGTGCTGAAGTTGTGCATTCAAGTTGGGAGTTAATCGAAAACACCTTGGTTGACTTCAGCGAGGTTTGCTGCATTGGAGTTGCACTTAATTAAAGTTAATGCAAGAGAAAAATATAAACTCTAGCAGTTATTTTAATTAGGGCTTTACTGTGGCACTGAGTGCTTTCAGCATTTCATTTATTATTTACCCTTCACTGTGCAGTGCCAGGACAATTCACTGTTCTTAATGACAAAACAAAAATATGCTCTTGTCGTAGACAAGGAAGTTTGGGTTTAGTCACTTGGCAGTACTAGTTACTATAAAGATACTAAAGAGAATATGGAGTTATCAGTCAGTTCCTCTTTTTTTGATGAAGATTATAATTTGTTCAATTATATGGAGTAGCTTTTTATTTTTAAACCATTCCAGCGATTGAAATAACTTTATTCTTCTCCAGTGGATCATGGTGCTCATAGTTGAGCAGCTGTAAATCAAATATTTCAGATATTTGTGTTCTGTAAAGGTACATGCTTTTTCTGGTAGATTTAGAAATATGGGAACTATTGCAAGCATTCAAGTGTCTTAAAATTTCAGATGAAATCACCCAGACTTTTCACCTCGGCTTTGCAGAGCCAGGATTCCTGTTTGCAAGAATTTCCTAGACCTTGCATGCAATGGATGCTCCTTCATGTTTTTCTAATTCAAATTAATAAGCAGGGAACTTCGGAGGGGTGAAGACATTTAGGGTGTGGTCTGATAGGTATCTAAATTACAAAAAACTGATGGTGTGAATATATATAGAAGAAAGAAGAATTCTGTCTCAGAAGAAGGTACTGTCTGTAATCTGCAGTCTTCTCTTCAGGCTTCATGGAGAAACTCATGAGACTTAGGTAGGAGCCAGGCTTATGGCAGACAAAAACATAGAACAAGGTTCTTGTGTTTTGTGGTTTTTTTCCCTCTTTGCTATTTCAGGAAATTATGAAGAATAAAGTAGCATCTAAAAAGTAGTTTCAGTAATAATTTTTCAGCTTCTTTTACTCTGTTAGTTACATGTTCAAGATATAATCCTTTCGCTAATTGCAAAGGTAGAGATGAAACATTGTAAGAGCTGTAAATTGTTCCCTAAATGCAAGCAGCTAATTACTTTCCAGTTGCTTGAGAATATATTTGCTTGGAATCTAGTTTTTTGGTTTTTTTATTTATTTTTCCAGGCAAGTCCTGTAGATGTATTTGTGTTTAAAAACTTCCTTTCTGAATGCTCTGTCCTGATTTCTGAGGCAGCTTTTCCAAGGCATGCTTGAGTTGGTTTCTGAATGCTGGCTGAAACCTTTTCTCTCTTCAGCAGATTGCTCCATTGCCTTGGCTGTCCTGCTGTAGATCACCAGCTCTCATTTCCTATTAGAGACTTTAAACTTGTTTCAAGAGATCCTATGTCTGTTCTGTACAGCCCGGTCTTATAGTCCTGGGATTGTGGTGACAGTACAATGGGAAGTTCCTCCTCTGTCTGTGAATGTGAACTGTCTATGAGGAAAATTATTTCCCCTTGCTTTGCAAGTTAATGTGTCTTCTGACACTTTGCATATGTGAGGAAGCATGGAGATGACAGCTCATTTCTGATCACATGTAGGAAATGAGAAGTCTCTTCCAGTTTGTAGCTCTACTCAAAGTCCGGTGAACAACGGTGACTGAAGCTTGCTGTAAATAAACCTCTGATGCCTGTAGTTGATATCTCCATTTACATGTCTTTCAGTGGCTTGTGACCAAATAGCCTGGTGTTGATTTCTTGGCTCAAGAGTATTTGCTTTTCTGTCAACTGCATGTGATGCTCGTGTCTGTCTGGCAGTTTCTGTTCCAGGTGTGGTATGAGTTGTAGGGATGCCCTTTAGCAGACAACGTCTGTCACTTCTCCATTCTTTGCCATCTGTCAGCATGTATTAACTGTCTCCCAGCCCCCTGAAATTAAACATGAAGGCCAAATGCAAATAAAAAATTATAAATGTGATTTTGGCGCTGCAGAAATGCAGTAGCCAAAAGTCTGTGGCCACTAGCTGGTAGTGCTTCAGAGTTTCATAGAAAGGTGAAGTGCCTGATTTCAGGGTCTTGTCTCTGGAAATGTGAATTCAAAGTCAAACAACTTGCTGACTGCTTTTACCTCTCCTTACTTCTCAGGTGGTTTCTTTATACTGTGGATTGTTTAACTTTGGACCCATTTGAGAAGGATGTGTAAGGCCATTATGCACTTGAGTTGCCTCTACTGCATAACCTGTTAGTCAGTTTTGTGCTAAGATTAGTGCATGGTAGCATAGCTGGTGTAGTTGCCATTCCCTGTGATGTTTGAAAAGTCATAGCAGGTAGATGGAAGTCCCAGGAAAAGGGGAGCCATTGTACGTGCGAGCATCATAAAGTTCAAGAGGTGCTGGTGCTGCACCTGGGTCAGGGCAGCCCCTGGTAGCAGCCCAGGCTGGGCATGAACAGCCCCAGAGCAGCCCTGCCCAGAAGGGCTTGGGGGTGCTGTGGCTGAGAGGCTGCACATGCCCCGGCCATGGCACTGCCAGCCCAGAGAGCCAAACGTGTCCTGGGCTGCATCCAGAGCCCCGTGGGCAGCAGGGCAGGGAGGGGATTCTGCCCCTCTGCTCTGCTCTGCTGACACCCACCTGGAGCACTGCATCCAGAGCTGGGCTCCAGCACAGGAGGGACAGGGACCTGCTGCAGTGAGCCCAGAGGAGGGCACCAAGGTGATCAGAGGGTTGGAGCATCTCTTCTACAAGGAAAGGCTGAGAGAGTTGTTCAGCCTGGAGGAGAAGAGGCTCTGAGAAGACCTTATCATGTCCTTCCAGTACCCAAAGAGAAATTATAGAAAATATGGGGACAGATGAATTGTACAGGGCTTGTAGTGACTGGAGAAGAGGTAATGATTTTCAATTAAAAGAGTCACACTAGATACAAGGATGATTCTTAAGCTTTACTATCAGGGTAGTGACACACCAGCATGGGCTGCCCATACAGCTGCTGAGTGCTCATCCTTGGAAACATTCAAGGACAGGTTGGACAGAGTTCTGACTAATCTGGTCTAGCTGATGTCCCTGCTTGTGCTGGGCATTTGAACAAGACAACCTTTAAGGGCTCCTTGCAACCCAAACCATTCTAGGCTTCTTTATTTTGAACTTCAGCAAAAAGCAGATATATGATGCCAGTTTGATAGTTTAAAGTGTCCATGTTTCTTTGGGGCTTGGTATATGTTAGTAAATCTGTATTAGTACAGAAAAAAGAACCTGATGCCAAGTGTTTTATGTACAGAAAAGAGAGATATTTATGATCTGAATAAAAGTGGAGGCTGAGAACTTGGAAAAATCAATCACTGCTAATCAGGTGTGACCAGAAATAGTATTGATGTAATAGCTCAATAAGCATTGTCTTCTTTTGTTATTTTGTTAGCAAAAAACATATTTGAAGGAGAACAAATAATAATTTTCCAACTTGGCTGTTGTGGGTGAGATCTTTTTGTGACCAGCCTTAATCTGGAGTCATACTGTTGCAGAAGTGGATGTTCCCACCTGTTTGTTTTGGCTAGCACTGATGTGCATGTGGCTAGGGAGTCATCTGGATCAGCTTGTTGCTTTGTTTGACCAAAGCAGATACAGTTGACCTTGCAGCTACTTGAACACTAGTTATTGTCACAATGGTGATACTGTTGAGGTGAATGGTGAGGAGGAAGCAGTAGATTCTCCAAAGACAGCTTAAGCCAGTTGTGAAATTTGAATGTGATTGAGTCTCTCGTAGTGACTGTTTTTAGCAGGGCAGTGTACTTATGTTGTGTTTCTTTCTAAAGTTACTATGAATGACAAGAATGTGCCCATGATTTCTGAGAGCACTGTGTGAAGAGCTGGTGCACAGAGCATGTTGTGAGCTCTTGCATGAAGAATGAGCAGTCTCATGCATGTTATTTGTGCCTTTTAGATCTCCATCCATCCTGCTCGTTTAATAAAAACAGGATGGCACCCTTTATTTTTGTTTTGATTGATTTGTCCAACCAACTAAAAGATAGGGCAGGACTGCCTGTTCATCTGCTGTTTTTTTACAGCGGCAGCAGCTGAGGACACGAGTCTACGCTGCCTTGAAATGGTGTTCATAGACCTCTTTTTTAATCTTGCTGTTTAAATTGAATGCTTTCAGTTGAAGATAGATGGGAAGGGAATTTGTCTCTATTGGATTGTTAGCTTTCTGGGTGTTTCTTCCCCATAAATTACTGTGTCCTGAAAGGCAGGCCAAAAAATGAAAAAAAACTGGTAAACCTTTCTGCTCTCAGTATTGCATAAAAGAGTATGATGGGTTTTGCAGAGTTCATACTCTCATCCTTGGATACTCTTTTCCCTTCCACAGTCTTTACTTTCGTCAAGCTGATTAATGAACTTCCCTCGTCAGTGAAGTGAGGTAGTTTCTTTATTAACTTGATCATAAACAGGTTGGACAGCCAAGAGGACGGCCATATAGCAATTGCAGGGAAGCCATTTGCCAGAATTACTTCTCACCACTTCTGCAGGCCAAAAGAAAAATAAGTGTACAGCTATCAATCTCTGCAAATGTGCAAAGATAACGAAGTTTCACGGCTATGTCAGCTGTAGTACCTAACCATGCTTGTCTGCCTTGATCCTTGAGTGATAGCACTGTTGCAAGCTGTACATCTCAACTGCTTTAAAAAAAGAGGGGAAATGGATTTCTCTCTTCCATGTCATCCAGCCTGTTTCCTTGTTGGAACACAGTTGTGTGGCAGAGAGCATGGCAGCTGACTCTGCTGTGTTTCTCACAGATGAAGCATGGTCCTTGCACTTCTGCCAGATGGCTGAAGCAATCCAGATTTGGTAAATCCTGGATGTTAAGTTGTTTGGCATAGTGAAGACTGACATGCATGTTTTATTAGAGGGAAGAACAAAATTTTGTGCAATGCTTAAAGTAAAGAGACAAATAACATGCAATTAAATGTTTTTTTTTCAGGAGGCTGGTGGAGTTATTTTTATGTCCAGCAAAAGCATTGTGAGTTGGGTTTTAGTTTTTATATAATGAGTAGCTGGGAAAAATTTATAATTTCTGTTTGAGATAACTGAACCATGCAGTAATTTTCTCTGTTATCAGGACTTCGTCAAGACTTTTAATGTCTACACTGCTTTGAAGTTGTTGGCAGATGTACTTATTTCAACAGTTGAAAATATTTTGTAATCTATTTACTCTGGTGTCTTTTAAACTCCTGAAATGGTATTCAAATTTTCTTCACTCTTGTTTCTTAATATTTCTCCCTTTTTGGCTTTAAAACTGTCTATTGACTGTGGCTTATCTTGGCTTCTGAGTGCTGGATTTATAGGGATGATTTCTGGGCAGCCAGAGGTGCAGCTTTTAAGTGTGAGCTTTGCTTCCTGCTATGCCCAGGTGGTGTAAGAATCTCTGTGCGTAGGCAGTGGTTGCTTATTTTACTCAAGGGAGGTGATGGTTGTTTTTAAACTACTCAGTGGCCAAGTTCCTTACCAAGCAAGTGGAGAAGTTACTCTGCTTTGCTCTGACCTTTACAGCCAAAACAACATAGGCAGTCCCTTATATGTGCAAAGTTTTTAGTTTTTAGTCCAATTAGTTTAGTGTGATGAACACCCTATGTGTGGAGATGTGAGCTTTGATTTTATGTTCAGAAGGTTGGTTTATTATATTATATATATTATATTAAAAAACTACATTAAAACTATACTAAAAGAATAGAGAGAAGATTTTTCAGAAGGTTAGAAAGAACAAGAATAGAATGCTTAACAAAATCTTGTTACTGCTCAGAGTCTGATGCAGCTGCATCTGTGATTGGCTTTTAATTAGAAACAACTAACATTACCAATTGCAGATGCACCTGTTGCATTCCACAGCAGCAGATAGTTATTGTTTATATTTTTTTCTTAAGGTCTTCAGCTCCTCAGGAGGGAAAAATCTTAGCAATGGATTTTTCATAAAATATCATGGTGACAGTTTAGAGTTTAGGTAAAAGTATTTTCCATTAGAGTAAGTTTTTATTAACCAGCACAGGTGTATGATGAGGGTGTCAGACTAGAGAATGCAAAGGGGTTTTAATTTCGGTTCTCCTACCAGTTGACTTGCACTTTCAAGTGTAAATCTATTACAGCTGAAGTACAATTCTTCTGAGTCCGTGAACATCCTTAGGTGTGGATGTGTTTTCCTAATTAGTGCAACATTAGGATCTGCAGCTGACACCTGCAAGCTTTAATCCTAACTACTAAACTGTTCATTTTGTTTAGGGTTTTGGGTTTTTTTCAGTAGTTGAAGGAGGATCGGGGAGGGAATTGGGCATTTGTGCTGCAAAGAAATACTGGGGTGAAGGGGGATATGCACTCACATGGGAAGGACAGGGGAGGATGAGAGGAGAGGAAATGACTGATCCTGATTCTTCAGTGCAGGTGTTAATTTTCAGGTGGTTAGGGCAGAAGGAGTGCTGGGTGCATTGTGTTCTTTCCAGCTGTCTCCAGCAGTGAATGTTTTGTAAGGCTTGGGAAGAGTGAGGAGTGCCTCCCTCCTACTCAGCTACACCTCAGCTGTTGCCATACACCACACATGTGTACAAAATAAAAAAGTAAACGTGAAAATGCAGTCTCTGTAGGAATCATATGTTTGTGCAGGACTGCTGCCTACAATCAGTTGCTGGGTGAAGATGATGCATAATTCTAGACACAAATAGCAATGAGTGGTTTTCATCTTTTCTGTGGAATGTGTGTCACATACCATACTTTATCAGGTTTTGATAGGATGTTAATAGGCTGCTAGTTTAGCACATCAAATAATAGATGTACTGCTAAATTATCTTAATGTTATTTTTCCTATGCTTTTATTGAAGAACAGATCTACACTCTGTAAGAGTTCACCAAAAGCAGCCTGTATGTATAACTTCTCTCTAAGAAACTCTAGATTATCTCCTGGTTTCCTAGAAATGTCTGACAAAGGATTTCAGAACAATTTCCTTGAGGTGTGTATTTTTAAAATTTCTGTTGAGGGTTTTTGTTGTTACTGTTATCTTCTTTGGCTCACTTCCACAGGTTTTGAGACAACATTCTTGGTTATAGAAGGAACAGACTAAAGATGGTGTAGAATTTAATTATAATCCTGGGCTATGAATTCTACATCATGTTCCTTAGTGCTAAGTCAGCTTCAGATCCTCTTGTTTCCTTGCTTCACTCTTCTTCTCTCACAGGGCTTTGTCTCCTCTGTTAGACCTATATGACAGTCAGTGCAGCTGCCCTCTGAGCACCATCTGTGAAATGACCCAGCCCATGAGCCTCCCAAATGAAAGTGCACTTTGGCAGGCAATGTAAACCTTTCTTCTGGTTTAAACTGTAACCTCATGGTTGTACATGTCTGAACTGACATAATGCTGAGCATAAATGTCTGTTTGAAGAGTTGTAAGGCTTTATAACAGAGTTTTCTGACAAGGTGTCAGTGACATATTGCTCAAATTTCTTGTCTTTTATGTGGGATGAGGTATATAGCTAAATATCTTTCTTTCAGATGTTCACACAGGCAGTGCTGTATTTAGTTACTATTCTCTGTTTATCACTAGAAGATAAATTCCAGTTGGTCTGCCAAAGCCAAAACTTTATGGTGTGTTACCTGGGAGGTGGGAGAATCATGCTAAGCTGCATGGGGCTTAATGGCTCTTTTGAGGTGGGTTTTTTTCCTCACTGTGGTAGGTAGAAATTGAAAAACAATATTATTTTGTCGTACTGAACAAGGAAAAGAGTTTTATATTCAAGGTCTTTTTATTCAAGTGGGAAGCCTCCCATGACAGATTTCTCTCCTCTCCCTTCCATTACTGTGAAAATGAAATGGGATGATTGATATAAATCCACTGTAATTGTTACTTAACCTGTTTTAAGAAGGAATTTATGCATTTTTCAGCAATCCTTGAAGCATTTGTGGATTTCAACTCAAAAAGAATGTCAGTTCAAAATAGGGAGGATATTTGACCATCTTGTTTTTCTCATCTGTTTGATGATGACTTACATGTCTGGTTTTTTTGTTGTGGTTTTTTTTTTTTTTTTTTTTCCCCAGTTATTTGTAGTAGATGTCCAAACTGGTCAAATTACCAAGATTCCTATCCTGAAGGATCGTGAACCTGGCATGGTGAACCAGCAGGGATGTGGCATTCATGCCATTGAGATCAACCCCTCGAGGACCCTCCTGGCCACAGGTGGAGACAACCCCAACAGTCTTGCAATTTATCGTCTGCCTACACTTGATCCTGTCTGTGTGGGAGATGTAAGTGGGAGTATCTGGGGAAAAACTATTCTCTCACTTAAAAAGTTACTACTCTGAATTGTGTTTGATCACAGCAAGGTTAATATTTAGCAGTCTTGTAAGGAAGTAAAGCTCTGAAAACATTTCTGATTGAGTTGTCATTTCTGTGGTGGTATCTTAAATATAATTGAGTACTCAAACATGTGTGTGGATTTTCAGGGGCTTTGGGTCAGATTTCTTCCTCCCCTGCATTCAGGTCTACTTTAGCTTACTTTTCAGCCCAAAAATGTAACAAAATCCTAAGTATTGAAGTCTAATTGTGGTGATGAGCTCTGAAACTATTTATAGTGAAAAAGCTCTTTTGAGAAATTAAAACTATGTTGCAAGTTTTTAAAATTTTCCCCTTATCCCAGTGCAGCTCCTGGATGTATTATTCCAGAGATGGAACTTGGTGTTGAAGATTAGTTCTAACCATGTGGCTTGTGGCAGTTTGGTAAAACTGGTACTGGTTTTATTTCTGAAACATCCTGAGGCCTTTTCAAAACATCCAGTCTTTTAAAAAACAGGCTGGAGAATATAGTGGTGTCCTGTGAGTGCTTCTCTCTCATTTCTCCTTTTGATTCAGAACTGCATGTAGATGTTAGCTGCAACAGCAGAGGTCAGGTCACAGTTTCTGCAGCAGCACATAACCAGCTGCAGCAAGACTTGATTGAAGATTTGCATGACTTGCTCTTCATTTATGTCACTTTTTAGCTTTTTAAACAAAACTAGGGTCTTACGGTCCTTTTTTCCCCCCCCATAGGTTTCTCACACACCAAAGAAAAGAGTCTTGAAACATTAATCTGTAGGTCATGTATTGTAAACATAAGATTTTGGTTACTTTTTATAGTAGGTTATATGGTGGAAGAAAAAAAATTTAACAAATAGATACTTTACAGAAGAATGCTGCTTTCAGAATGGAAAATGTGAAAATTCTGGAAAATCTTATAATTTAGATTAATTTTTCCTTGGTCAGAGGCCTTTTTTTTCCAACAGCTGCTTTTTCTTTATTCATTGCACACTTCAAAACCAGAAAAGTAAAAATTACTGCTAGGTACTTGAACTGTTCCAGCTTGATACTGGAATCTTATCTGTATGCTTTTAATGTAGGTCTGTCCTTCTGACCTTGTACTAAAAATCAAAGTGAAGAATACTTGTCTGCTTTGAGACTGCTCTTGAATATAATGGCACAGAAAAATCTGTCTTTCTTCTTTTAGGATGGACACAAGGACTGGATATTTTCAATTGCATGGATCAGTGATACTATGGCTGTTTCTGGTAAAGTCATATTTTCAAACGTCTTGAGGGGGTTTTTTTTGTTTTGTTTTGTTTGTTTGTTTGCTTGTGTTTTAAGTTTTCCTTCTCTCTGAATGCTACAGTGATGCACAACATTTGATAAGTGTTAGGAAAGCAACTCTGTCGGGGTGTTTGAAACCACTTGGAACTACCTAGGCTATTTAAACACTTCCTGGACTTAGTACAGTACTTCATTTTATTTTGTTGTTGGGCCTTCACCTAGATCTGATTTTCCTAGTGTTAGAATATTACTGTGTTTGTAGTAAGGGGATGTTTGAACACAATGAGTTACAGAAAAAGATGTCACATAAGAGGAGTAATTTCAAGTGGGGTGTTGGTTACTGGTTAATAACTTTGGAACACTTGAGATCAATATCAGTAGAAGTTATGAAAGGGTAGAAGTCGCGTGAAAGAGTAATTAATGAGAACTCAGATTGTTTCATCAAGCTTTCAGTACAGTTGTGTGTGTATATGTATATATGCACATACAGTATGGCAGTTAATACAGAAGGCTGGAATAGAGAAACTCAGTTAATGACTTTTTGGTGACTAGTTGGATAATCAGTGTAACTTCATAAAGAATTACTTAGGTAAAGGCAAAAATAGTAATGTCTTGTTGCATTAATTTAGCAGTTTACTGCCTTTCTGTGCTGAGAGGGTGTACTGTTCTGTACTCAGAGTTGTCAAACTGCTGGTGAGAGACAATCATAACAGTTTTGTATAAAAGTCACATATTTGAATTGGTTTCATTTAGTACGATTGGTTTTGTTTAGTAGCATTTTTCTTCCAAACCCAAAAAGCTAATCCTGGAATTTCATTTTTGAATTTAATATAAAATTTCATCCTGCAAGTCTCCACCCCAAATGTGTGCAGAAACTCCCTCACAGTCAAGCTAGTAAGCTTGAAGAGAACAGCACAGATGATTACAGATGTCTAGGGGAAAGACAAGGGCCTGACAGATTGCGTAGCATGTGAGATGGAACTGTGTTGACTCGGTATTTTCTAAAAGTCAGGGGTGGATGTGTGAGTAGAAATGTTCTCTACTGTGGTGCTTATGGCAGGCAGGACGTAGGTTCTAGTCTCCACACCTCAGACACCAGGAGAACTTACTGAAAGCAACTAGCAAGACTGGTTGCTAAACTGAATTCTTTAGAACTCGCTGACAACCCTAATTAAGAGTGAAAAAAACCCCTAACTTCTGGCATGGTTTCAATTTCACAGATTTCAATTTCATCTCTATCTGAAAGTGTTAAGCAGAAATGCTTGAACTCTACTCCAGACATTGAGGATATAGCAAGTATTTTTATGGCAAAAGCTTCAGATGAGATGAATAATTCCCAGGATGGCATGAGCTTAGGGTTGCAAATGATACTCTGCTCGGCTTCAGGGCTAACCAGTTGAGCAACATAGATGGCCTTTTTCCCCTGCCAGGGCTATTAAAAGGGACAGCTTCCTCTGAAAGTATGTCAAGATGTTTAGAAATTTTACTGCTGAGTATTCAGCCTCCATAACAAACAAGATTAGGTACAATTAAAACAAATGGCATGTAATGGAGTGGCAGGATGTTGTGCTGCTGGATGCAAGTGCCATTAGGATGCTCCTTTTGTATTTTTCTCTAGTTAGGTGATAGTGGCAGATGCCTGAATCCATCTGTGAGCAAAGCCACCTCTGCTGTGCTGGACCACACCTATTGCAACAAGATATTTTGCTTTACTGTCTTTGCAGCTTCTCCCCTATGAGATAGCAAAGCTGATAAATTTAATAGTCTCATATAGATATATAGCTTTTCTGGTGTCTTCATTATGAATTTCTTTTGACAGAATTTTTCACTTTATGTAGAGGAGAAATTGAGGTACCTGTCAAATCTGTCAGAGATGACTTAGATGGAAATGAGTTGCCTGAACACCAGAAGGGATGTGTATAAGGTCTTGGATTAAGTCTGTATTGATCAATGAACCAGACGCATTCAGCTGTCTTGATCCAGTGTTCTTAACATTAGTGATTCATACCTTAGATTAATGTCTTCAAATTCAGTAGAAAAATAGAATGAGTTATTGTCTGTTTAACCTAAGTTACATTCTTTAAGAAAGAAGTGACACAGGTTTTAGTGAAATAATTTTTCTGATAGATTTCATCTAAATTGGTACAACTGTGATTTAGAAATAGATGTTTCTGTTCAGCTCACGAATTACTGTGTACTCAGCGGCAGTAACAGAAATCAAGTAAACCCAAATAAACCCAGCTGAGGTTTTTGTGGAGATGTTTTGTATTGGCTTAACAGACTGTTTACCAAGACTGAGAGTGACAGGCTCAGGCTGAACCTCTGGTGTTCAGTCATTCCGAGTTCATTCTGTATATGGGATGAGGATAATTGTTGCACAGGGTTATGGGTTTTGATGCATCCTAATTAGTTTGAAAATATATGAGATGGTCTAGCTGCTTGGAAAGCATATGGACAGTTGACAGTGAGTTCCTAATATTCTGAACTTTATAGCTCAGTAAAATCATCCTTTTGTTAATAATAATAATATATGGGCACTAATAGCATGTTCTGTTAGATTAAACTAAGAGTGTCCTTTTTTCAGAGCCTATTGATTAATCCTTTTTTTAGAAAAGAGTTGTGTATATGTGGAATGGACTGTTCATGTGTGGACTATTTGATCAGGTTCCCGGGATGGTTCGATGGGTCTCTGGGAAGTCACAGAGGATGTGTTATCCAAAAGTGATGCCAGGCATAATCTCTCTCAAGTTCCTGTCTATGCCCACATAACACACAGTGCTCTGAAGGATATCCCCAAGGAGAACACCAATCCTGACAACTGCAAAGTCCGAGCATTGGCTTTCAACAATAAGAACAAGGTCAGTAAGATCAGCAAAACAGTTGAGACGTCCTAAAACTGTCCCTGTGTATTGGAAAAGCTAGAAAGTAAGCTAAATAGAATATACAGAGAAGCAAGTTAATATGTTTTTCTCTGATTATTTTGCATCCTTATCTTTTAAGGCAGTGGTTTTAATCTGCAATGTCTGCTTCTGCCTCAAGTGAATGGAGGAGTTCAGAGGAAAAAAAAACAACCCCAGACCTTTTAGAAGACACAGTTTTCCTGTGGGTTTGATTTTAGATTTGCCTCCTAAGCAGGGGAGTAAAGACATATTTACAAGAAGCTGATAAAGCACCAAAACATCTCTTGCAGCTTTAATCCCATTCTTTAGTGCTCTTTCTGCTTTCCATCATGTTCTGTGAAGACCAGCTAACATTTAACAGTTCCTGTTTCAGTGGCTGAATCCTTTCAGGATTGCTGAGCAAATGAGGTGACTGACTCACAGGGCAGGCACTAGTGCTTGCTTTGGGGTTATTTTGTTGGTATTTGACAAACAGTAAATGTCAATCTCCCCCATCCTGATCTCCTGTTATTACCAGTGAATGTAGCCATTCGTCCTTCATCACGTTTTCTTTTCCCCTCTGCCCTCAAAGAACAGAAGAGATCTGAAGCGAAGATGGGTGTGCTGTCAGATGCACAGTGATCCTGTAAGCTTTATTTTTCACACGAGGTGTTAGTTACTCCTCCATGATGGAAACTTCATGTAACTTTTTCAGTAGAGTAGTGCCTGCAGCTTGCTTCAGGGTTAGAATCAGTGTGGGACCTGGTGAAGGGAATTGTCAACTCTAGATTGCACTGTCTCATAATTCATTATTTGGTTGCCTAGCAAGATTTATGGTTTTGAAAGTTATTTTTATTTACTCTTTTGTTAATTTAGATTCTACTTGACACCTGAAGTGCAGTATAGAATTCTATGAAGAGCAGTATAAAATGAACATTATCTTGATAGAGTCTTTACAAGATTATGGATGAGTTCAATCCAGACTGTGCAGCCTGCCTAGAACAGAGTGTGTTTGTAAGGATATCTATAATACAGTAACTAACTGTCTTCTTATTTTCCTTCTAATAGGAGTTGGGAGCTGTGTCCCTGGATGGGTATTTTCATCTTTGGAAAGCAGAGCATACACTATCAAAGGTGCTTTTCTGTTTGTGGGAGTTAAACTTCAAAAATTGCAAGCAGTTAAGGCTGTTCACTATTCTTCATTTCCTGCAAATATTTGAAGAGCAGCAGTGTTTGTAAAACACTTAAAAATTCTGTGTAAAATGAAATGTCCTGAAATTTGGAGCTTGAAGAGGAGAGAAGCTCCGCACTCCCCTTAATTGAGAGGACAGGAAGCATTCTTATACTTTCTGCTAGTTTTGGGTTAGCTGAAGTGAACTTTGCATGGAGTATGGTGGATACTTAGTCTGTAGAATTCATAAAGGAAGTTGCACTTATTTAGATGTAATGGCACATCACACCCAGTGAATGAGATAGGCTTTTTCAAATGATAGCTGATGTTGCTGTGCACCTGCTAAAAAATAGCAGCAGCTTAGAAGGATCTAAAACAATTTATTAAAATGTCAATTTTTCTTAGCTTCAGCTTTTATTGTGTCAGTTTGCTTCAGATAAGATACCCCATTGCTTTCAGTTTTTTTCCTTCTGGTCTTATTTTTCACCTGCATTTTGTGTTTTATTTCCCTAAAACTTCCTAGAACATAGCTTACAAAATTGTTTTGTTAACACCTTCATCTTTTCTTGTAACAGATTGATTTTTATTTTTTCTGTTTCCAGTTACTTTCCACAAAGTTGCCATACTGCAGAGAGAACGTGTGTTTGGCTTATGGTCAAGAGTGGTCAGTGTATGCAGTAGGATCACAGGCACATGTCTCTTTTCTGGATCCAAGGGAGCCTTCCCACAATGTTAAATCCGTCTGTTCCAAAGAACGAGGCAGCGGTAAGAAACCTGTGAAAGGTGCTTCAAATGGTTTGCTTGCACAAGTAGCTGTTAAAAATGTAGTAAGTCAAGCTTCTAATGAACAGGAAGGGCTTTTCTAGTGATTGGCTAAATGATTAGCAGTGTGTGTATAGATTTGGGTTTGTGACAGTATACCTGGAGCAACCAATAAATCATATGTGGCCAGCTCTGAAATCTAATGAAGGGCAACATGACTGCCACTAGGAGCAGCACAATTGTAAACCATCCAAATATTACTGAACTTTCAAAAGTGTGCATTTTTACTGCTGTGTATTTTTTACTGGGTCTTACTCTATTTTTTATCATCTCAAAGCAAATGTACTCTTTTTACTGCTATTCATACTGTTCTTGCATTCTTCTCCATGAATTCGAAAAAAGGCATGTTGTCTGCTCTGTGCTACCTTATATTTGAGTATGTGCTGTAAGGGAAAGCTCGCTTTGTAATTTTAAAGCCATGACTGAGATTCCTGATTTTCTATGTGATTTGAATGCTATTTCCTTCTCATGGATGCATTATGTCCAGTTGAGCCTTATACCAGGGCCAGGCTTGCAGGGTGCATGGTCCCATAAAGTTCTCTCCATATTCTCTACTGTCAGGTATGAGAAGGCACAGTGAGTGTCATATTAATGCCAGACTAGTAAATTGCAGTCCTTACTTAGCTTGGCTCTGGGCTTCCATCTCTTCATCAGGCAGGTTGCCAGAGGAGGACACATGTCAGCAAAGATAGGAAAGTTTTATTTATGCAGTTACTGAGCCATGGTGTCTAGATCAGTGTCAGGGTCTGCTGCTTTCAGTTATGGGAGAAATACGTATAATGTTAGGAGAAGTCACCTGAATGTCTTACCAGAAAGACCACTTGTCCTCACTTGCTGTTAGTGAGGATTCTGTCAAGGTCCTGACCCAGACACTGCAGTGTGGTCCCTGTGGTGGCTGGTGGCTGAAACCTGCCTCAAGTATGTGATCTTCCATATTGGGGGATAATGTGTGTAGGGAGTACTTTGAGGGATTCTCTGGTTTAAGTCTGGAGAAAGCCTTTGTTCAGGGCTGTTTTCTCTTGTGCAGAGTAGATGGTGCTGGCATGGTGGTAGAGGCACATAAATAACAGTAATTCGCAAGATACTGAGTGTCTCCCCTTTATATTGATCTCCCTGGGACTTGAAGTGGTGTAGCACCTCTAGAAAACAGGGTCTTTATTGATCTGTGGACTAAAATCAGATTTTAAGTGCTTTGCAGTGGTACCTGAATGTGGTTTAAGTTTCCAAGTGCACCTGCTGAACGTGGTAAGTCCACGTTAACTTCAGTTCACTCAAGTTGTACACAAAAGCAGGTCACAGAAAGGTGGTGGCTCAGTAAGACTGGAGCTGGGGCTGGCTTTCCTCTGCTGTGGCCCTGTTTACACTGGAAGGCAGTGAATGCTTTTTAGCACATCTTGAAAGTGTTGCTTTTCGTAACAGCTGTAAAGGGAAATGCACACCTTGGACCCTAGCTCTTGATCCGCAGGAGCAATAGTTCTCTGTGTGACTGGCCTGCAGAGCCATGTTGTGTGTCCTTCTCTTCATGTCCTGAAGGCAGCAGACAGAGCTTGTATGGCATAGACTCTGTGACTTCTTGTGTAGGACATGGCACTATATCTCTATTTCCTTCTGGGATCTGTAGACCATTCCTGCAGCATGTGAGTGAGGCTCAACATACTTACCTAAATTACCTAGGTCCACAGGTGGTAGAGGGCTGGAAGTATAGAACTTATTGTGATAGGTTCTAGGCACAGGCTGTACTTTTACCTTGACAGGAATGATTAGTCTAAGGTACTTCAGCCCCTTAGGAGACAATTTGAAATGCTGTTTTTGAAAGCCTGTTCTATATATCGTTCTTAGTAGTGGGTACATAATGGATTTCTTCAGTAAATTTCTTTGGTTAGAGAAAGATCCATACTTGTTCTGCATTTTATATCTTTTTATTAATACATTTAATTGAAAAGTAAATGCCATCTGCCTTGATACTCCATCACCATACTTCACACTGTTTGTGTGAAGTTAGAGCAAAAGTAAGAGGAGGTTCACTCTTGTGCCTTTCCCCTCTTATCCAAGTGACTGCTCTTGCTAATTGCAGAGGGCTTAAAGCTTTCTGTGTGTCTTTGTGAGAGCTAGATCCATGTGATGGAGGTGAGGGGAAGATCTTCTGCTGTCGTAAGTGCGTTTGTAGCTCTCTGAATTAAAGCGGAGACTCTCATATGAATCTCATAATCTGCTTCAGTAGAGAGACAGTGGTTTCCCCATTAAGCCCACAGCCAAGACTTCATCCCATATCTGGAGCAGGACAATGAGGCCCTGCCTTGTTCTAAGTGTGTATCACAAATGCTGGTCTGTGGATGTCACATCCAGTGGCAGAGATAGAAGGATGAGGACATGTTTCTTGTTAAGACTTTATACAGAGGGGAAGGGGAAACTCCCTGATTGCATCCGCAGCTCCCGTTTGTCTGCTGTCATGTGTGCTCCTGGGAATATTCCAAGATGATACATGTTCTGTGACATTCAGCCCTGCTTGGTGTGGTGACAACACTTGGCATGTGAATGTAGGTGACATAACTCAGTATTTCCTCTCCTGTTTGAATGCTTTGTTTAGGCTGTAGTTCAATCGTACTCTAAAGAGGGCCTGAAAAGCCTTGGGGTTTATAACCTGGCATCCTGTCAAGAAGGAAGGAGAAGTATCGATGTGGGGGAGTTTGACCTGCATGGAAGAGTTGTTTGGAGTAGAATGGCTACACAGAACAGTATTTGCACAATAAATGGAGATGAGATGACAGGATGTTTTGCAGATTGCAAATTCTTACATTCAGAATCTCCCCAAGACTAGTTCCAAGGGATCCTTGATTAGCTGAGACTTCAAATTTAGATTCTGTGGGAACAAAATTTACATTCTTGTTCAGTGTAATGGGATAACTGAATTGTGCTAACATGTCTAGTTTGAACTGTACCTTCCCATGTACTGGTGGAACATGGTGTTGTTTAGATGGCAGGAGTCCTGTTCTGTTTTCTTTCCTGGCTAAAGTGCTAAAAATGCCAGCTACTAAAAATCACGCGTGTTTGTTTGAGAATATTTGAGTGGAGACAGATCAAGCTCATTAATAGTTCTGAAGCTATCTTAGCAGCAAAGTGATTGGTGATTATTATGATTACACTGGCTTACAGCTAGCCTGTTGATCAGCACGATGCACTTGGCGGCAGCTGGGACTTTCTTTTCTCAGATGGCTAATTTACTGCAGGTTGGCAGGTAGTTGGGGTGTGAGCTGATGGTCTCAAGGAGTAGGGCAGTCATGTATGCAATCAAAGCTGCTGTTCCAGTAGCAGTGGGATTTGTCTGCACTGCTCTGTAGCAGTGGGAAAGCTTGTGTGTTTTGGAGAATACTAGTAGGTAATATTAGACATGAAGCAGCAGCACTGCAGAGCCAAAGCATCTCTGTTCCTTACTGCATTGTCCCTCTCTGCTCTGACAGGTATCCGCTCGGTGAGCTTCTACGAGCACATCATCACTGTGGGGACAGGGCAAGGGTCCTTGCTGTTTTATGATATCAGAGCCCAGAGGTTCCTGGAAGAAAAGCCCCCCCGTGCCTGCTATGGACAGAAACAGAAATTAGGAGGAAGTGAAATTTTGAAGTTGACAACTGGGAAAGGCTGGCTGGTAAGTAGATGGTAGCTGTGATAGAGGTGGGGAGAAGCAGACCCATTATATAGGAGTAGCATAGAGATTGAGCCAATTCTCTTTGGACCCGTTGTGTGAAATGTAACAGTATTCATGTAACCAACATCTAATAATGAAGAGCAAGAAGTGCTACAGAATTGCTTTCTGCAAAAGCCTTATGAAAGGGTACTGAGGGTTATTTGCTTGAGTGTAAGGCGTAGTGATTACAGTTCTCATGCACTGATTCATAAATGAACTAGATTTTATATCTTTGTATTTTCAAGTGTATTTTCAACTTGTAGCTTTCAGAACCTCAAACAGAGAATAAATTGTCTTTCTTTAAAGCCATGGTAATCTAATGTGGTACTTGAAGCAAGAGAGTTTTAATTTAATTGTATGCAGTTTTAGGAACTGTGGCTTCCTGAGGTAATGCCATGGCAGGCACTGAGTTTGGTTTCCTGTATGTTATCATAAAGCAATTAATGGCTTTGTTTAACTTAACTCTGTTACCTTTTGTTGTATCAATGCAATGTCCCCTCACCTCCCTGTTCCAATGCTTGACCTGAATGTTCTCAGAAGAAGGTTTAGGACAACTCAGGTGTCTTTTAGTTGACTTCTATGAAGCTTCAGGATTGTTAAGAGAAAATACCCCTTTTTAGGCTCTGGAAGCTACCTAATGCTTTTGTGAAACAGGGTTTTGAGTTTGTTTGGCAACAATAACTATCTAAACTTTTCTTTAACAGAACCATGATGAAACCTGGAGGAATTATTTTTCTGACATAAATTACTTCCCAAATGCTGTTTACACCCACTGCTACGACTCGTCTGGAACGAAACTGTTTGTGGCAGGAGGCCCTCTTCCATCAGGACTTCATGGGAATTATGCTGGTCTCTGGAGCTAATGATAACTCTTCATTCTGATGCTGATCTTTACACGGATTTCCACTTTTCTTTTCATTTTTTTAACAACAAAATTGTGTGATGCCATTGATTCCTGATTTAAACACAAGTTATTTTTTGGCAGAGTTTTCTGTTGGTCTCCAACAGTTTTGTACATCTTTTTGAACTAGTTTTTTGCTTTAACCTCCTTGATCCTTTATATGGAGGGCTTTTGAAGTCCTTTTTTATTGTATTTACTCCAAATGACTCTTGCCCCCATTTAGACTGGCTTGGCCATGTGTCCCCTCCTCTACTTTGCTGTGAGGTAGGATTTCTTTCTTATAGAGTGGTTGCTCCTGAGCTTTCTGTGAAAGTCTTGGGGCTGCTTGTATGCAGGTACTTTGTGTCAGTTACATTACCTGGAGTGAGGACTACTTGTAATTAAAAACTATTAAAAATATTTATAAGAGATAAGCTAGTACTTTATCTGGAGAGCCTGGCCCTGGCCTGGGTTGATCATATTTTTTAAAAGTACAAGTCTAATGACACTGTTTTTGCATAGAGGGATATGGTAATTTTAACCTGTACTCAGTGGAGCCCAGGGATGGATCACTTAGTGATATTGACCATCAGTTCCAAAGTGCTGGAGGTTTTAAAAGTGCATTTATGTTCGAATGGTAGTTTTCAGCAGTGCTAGGAGCAAAAATTGGTCTGTTTCTTCACTGCCTGTCCCAGGTATCAGCTTGCACAACTGGAGTTTGTATAGGCTGTTCTGCAGCATGGCTGTTGCAGGGTGATATTACACTGAGGGCTGCAGAGATGCTGAGAGAAAATGGGGGCTAGTTATTCAAAATTAACTAAATCTATCTGTTCTCCAGATGAAATATGGTTTCTAAGTATGCTGTTAGGGTAGCTTATAAACTCTTCGTAAACTGCCTAAAACTTTGGACCTTTCTTATCCCAGGTTGTGGAAATTTTTCCCCTTTTTGCTGTTCTGGTTGGCCATCTGCTCAAAGAAGCCGATGGAATTAATAAACTAATTTTTTTCACCCACATTAAAGAGTGCATCTCAGACATTACTAATGCAAGCGAGCAGCTTTCCTCAGAGGAGGGTGTATCTTGGTGTTTCTTCACTTTGTGCTAGCCTATGCTGTGGGAGAGACTCAGGCTTTTCCAGAATCCCCTGCTGCCTTCTGTATTCAGACTCCCTCCAACTTCACCTGGGACTGGGAGAGGAGAACCGGGTCCAGTGTCCTTCAGGTCCATCTGTGAAGCATTTGCCTCCCATGGTCTTACCCAATACTCAGCTGAAATGCAAGACTCCAAGGTATTCCTCCTTTTAGCAGTCACCAAACTCTCAGCTTTTTAGTGATGCCCCTGTCCTCTGCTGGAATTAATGCCTTTCCCCTGACATTGGTGGAACAAAGTGTGCCTGTGCCTCACAGCTTTGGTGCCAAATGGGCAGTTGATTGAAACTGAGAGGGAAGACAAGGCTGGGACATGCTCTGTTCTCCCATCTCTGTGAGAGATCGTAGCTACCACTGCAGTTCCTACCCACAGTCCAGAGCTAATCTGCATTTCTCTTTACAGACCCTCTCATCTTTATATTCAGTATCTTCACCAGTCACACAGAGCAGTCATGCATCAGGCTTAAGTTCTGGCTGGTATGGAGACCTGGATGGAAATCCTACAAGGAGTGCAGGTCCCTCTCATTGGGGTGGAAATCCTGGCAAGAGAAGAATTCTCTCCCAGGTGTGCACCTATCCCAGAAGTATAATTAGCACTGAGCATTAACACAGGTGCTTCACAAGCAGATCTTACAGTGTTTCATTATACTTACCATTGTGGCCTGGTTGCATAAACTGCATCAGTTCAAAGTACTGTGTGTATGGGTAGATAGGCTTTTCTCTGAAAAGGTGAAATTATATACTATGGGGTAGCTGCTATAGTTATTTTAGGGGCTTAGAAAAGTGGAAGTATATGAAAAAAAAACAAGTCTTGGAGAAGAATGGCAGGATTTGTATCCTTACAGCTACTTAGTAAGATCATTCTGTCACAGGAAATATGTTCTGCTTTGGTTTGTTTGATTGTTTTTTAAATTCAGTTTGGTTTGAAGTTTTTTCCTTTGTTTTTTTAAAGAATCTAGACACTTGAGTCTACCTGAGTGTCCTCCAGTTCAGCTGAAGCAACAGGTAATAGCTGGGCATTTAGTGTCAGCAGTGCCAAAGGGAGGCTCCTGGTCTGGAAATTCTAGCCCTGATGTTGATCTATTAACTGAAGCATATTTTAGGCCATAGGAGGAGGACAAAGAGTATGTGTATGGCCTTCAAACACAAAGGCTGATGTTTCTGCAGTCTCTAGTTTACTGAAGAGGCACCACTGGAAACTGTCCCTCCCTACTGACTGTGATCTCCACAAGTACCTCAATATGTGCTCCTAAAGCCTGGTAATGTGAGTGCCCCTTTTCTCCTTTTTTTCTTCATTGAAGGCTCTGCACAATTCTCAGATGAATCTGGATAATGATGTAAAATGTCTCAAATGCTTTTGTGTATTCTGCTTTCAGGGTGCTTTCTTGCAAAAATGACTTCTCACAGTAAGGAAGCCATCCTTGTTGCTGTATGAAAATCCCCACAAAAACACTAGGAACCAAACCAGATAGTGCTGCAAGCACACAAACAATTTGGACCAGAGATAAAACCACTGAAACTAGCTAAAAATTAAGTTAACAGCAATATAGATGTTAAGTTTCAGAATATTTCTGTGGCTGGTCATGCATAACTTTTGTTCCAATCCCTGTTATAAACTGAGGCATAGAAAGGTGATGATGATATACCAATTGTCCAAAGATAAGTAATGGGAGAAAAACTGAATTTTTTTAACTTTGATTTTGTTGCCCTGTTGGGTTAGATATCTGCTGTTCATGGTTAGAAATGAGTGGGTTTCCCATCCAAGTGCAGGAATGGCTGCAGAACAGGGAGCCTTCAGGCTCTGCAGAGAGGCAGGGTGGGTACCTCACTGTTGTAAAGCCAGATACACCCCTGCAGTGGAGTGAGCTCATTCTCATTGACTGCACTTCAGTAGCTTCTTGAACAGCTTGCTGTTTGATGCTGAGACCCAATGGCATGCGTATAATCAGACCATCTTATCTTTTCCACTGTTTCTTCAAGATTTCCCTCATTCCTGCCAGAATGGTTTGTTTGAGGTTGCCTCCTTCAACCCAAATCATACCAGTCTTTGCTGTAGCAATATTGTCCTTGCAGAGGTGACCTCTGCTGGGATTTTGTCAATCTGCTCGAGACCTTCAATTTGCTTCAGTTTAACTGGGTAGAAGTTGAAGGCTGGCTCAGACTGTTGAACAGGGCAGTAGCCCTTGTACATGTTGGACTGATATGATTACACAGTAGTAGTCTGTTTCACATGGGCAACATACTCTGGTTTATCTCACTTGAATGAGAGAACTTTTAGCATAACATGCCTTCAGACTGGTTGCTATTGACTTCTCAGTTGTGTGGGATCTTCTGTGCTACCAGAGAGTTTAGGAGACTGACATTTAATTTAGGTATTTTTGGGTATTACATTTTCAGTATTCATGATAGGTAATCAAACTAGTGACTCAGTTATGGGTTTGGAAATACCTAGCTTGTAAATACTGAGTAGCAATGCCTCAGTAACAGCTGGATGTTACTGCGAAATCAGAAGCTACTTTGCAGTGTTGGCTTCAGCACAGTAACAAGGGTTGTGCTCATCCTCTTCACTAAACACCTTATTCCTGTAATTCCTCCAGGTTTCTCCTTTGTACAGTCAAGTCTTGTAGGGAGAATTGCTAGTGCTCTCCTCTGGTGCTTTCTGGGATTGCAGTAAAGAAGTGAGTCCATTTGTTTGATTCTCTCATCAAACTGCTGCTGGTGTTAGTTCGAGGTGAGTAAATGACCAAAGAATAGTTGGTAGTAGGTTTATGTTCCTAGTCTCAGTTGTTCATTCTCCTCATAGATGCATTTTTAAGATCATTGCAAGAGTGCAAAGTGATTTTGCTGGACTTAGTCTGTTCACAAAAGTTACATTCATATTGTGGGTGACTCTTGTGACTGTCTTCATGAGAGAAACTCCTGAATTGCATTAGGGGGTTTATATTTGCTGCCTCCATTTTAGGTCTTTGGCAGCTTTTTGTATCTAAATGATTAAGATACTTGGGGATCATTCTCTTCCAGAATTTCATCCTGTTCCTTTACCTGAGCACTTGCTTGTAGCTGAAAAATGAACAGATTAAATTTATGATCCAGCCATGTTGAGTGGTGCTTTGATGTCTTAATTTTGCCACTCAGCTGAGAGGCATTTACAGGCCTTTTGAACTGCTGTGCCCTCACCTGGTGCAGGCATGAATCAAACCAGGCTTGCCTAGACCCTTCACAAGGTCACTTGTTTGCTTTGTTTGCAAGAAACCAAGGATAGGTGGGCTGTCAGTTACTGCATGTGGGAAAGCAGCAGCATCTTTCAGCAGCCAGGTGGGAGGTCTGTTTTTAGTCGTCTCTTGCCCTTATTTTCAATAAATGCACTTTTCCAAGGTGTTTGATATCTTCTTACTTAGCTACTTTTGTAATTGCTGCTATGACTGAATTACTGGACTGGGGTATAGCTTGTTCCTAAGGAACTCTGTTGCAGAGCTGTGTATCATGCAGGTAGAGTTGATCCTCTGGCCAGCCCATGCTGAGCCAGGAACTCTTGAGCTACCAGGCACAATTTTTTTATCTGAAAGCCAAGTGAAAATCCCTGTATGCCATGCTGGCCACCCCACAGTGTGAGCCTCAACTTAAAATGCATTTCTGAGTGTTATGGTGCCCTCAGTAACTTGTTTGAAATTCTGAAGCAGACACCTCAGGACAAGGGAGAGTGGAAGAGAGAACACAACCACATCTTTTATGAGGTGCTCTCCTTTGTACATGAGCACTTTGTGTGGTGAGGATGGGCAAGGAACACCAGAAAAACAGTAAAAGGCAAACAGTGTTTGGTATGGCTCTTGGGAATCCTGAAGAATTAAAAAACTAGAGGGGATATGCAAATGCTTAATCAGAAACATCTTTGAGAGATCAAGTATATATTTTTGACATTTCTGTGTTATTTTAGTAACTCTGTTTTATTATAACAACTGCATTATTTTTCAAGGATAAAATTAGCAAGTATCTTTTCGCTTGTGATGTTGAGTTTTTTAATGAAAAACATGTGGTGCTTGGCTAGTTAAAAGAATGCTTTTGCAGAAAGGAATCTTCCCATTTTCTAACAGCCTTTCCCACTAATACCCTGCTGGGAGCAGTATGGTCTAAGAAAGTGCACGCAGATTTAAAACGGAGTTGGCAGAGTTGGGAAAATGTGGGCTGTCTGACTGTTTCTATACCCAAAAAACCACCAACACTTGATTGTATACAAATTGTCGTTGCTGTACTGAAACTGAGAGGGTGTGTGAAACCCCTTGCAACATACTGCAATGTCTTTAGTCCAAGATTCTTTTGAATTGCTTATTTTGCCTTCAGGACAAAAAATTTAGGAGTCAATACAGTGTTTTCTTAGGAACTGCTTTTCTAAATTCCCTTACTAAAAGGGAAAATTCAGGTGCTGAATCTTACAATCTTATTAAACTTGTACTTTTTATTCGCCCATTCACCTCGTCTCTTTTCATTTTCAAGGCCTCCCACAGTCTCAGGGTATAATTCACTATGACTCATCCAAATAGTACTGAAACGGACCAACCAGAGGTTAATGTGCCTTCCTCTTCTGGTACCTTGATCTTTATAAAGTTATCTCAAACTTGTCACTGTCTTAGGGCTGGGTACATGCATTGTCTTTTTCTAAGATGTATGTGTTGAAATTGCAACAGGTTTATACTGTTACTTGTGACTTGTTCCATTTATGTTAGGATGTGGTGTAGACAAATCAATGCGTTGGTTGGTCTTGATATCAGTCTTGCCAGTGACACCTGTCAGTCCTTGCTTGTATGTTCATATGTAGATAAAATGCTGGATCTTCCCCACTGCCTATGGTGCATAAGATGCACAAAATACACAAGGTGTGTTAAAATGTGCAGTGATCATAACTTGTTGCCTGAAGGTAGGATGTCCTACAGTGAACTGTTTTTAATGTTTTTTCCCCAAATATTTTTAATAAGATCCAAAGCCTTGAGGAAAAAAAAACAATCAGGACTTGCTGTTACTTGATGGCTTTTGTTCTGAATCCAGGATCTGATGTTTGTTAAAAACTCCTCCAAATCCACTCATCTAAAAGAGGCTTTCTCAGCTTGTTTCTGTCATGAGGTGTATCAGAAACAGCACTGAATCCTGAACTATCACAGAAGCTGTCAAGCAAAGTAGTAACAGCTCTCTTCAAATATTACAGTGCACATTTTTTCACTGTAAGATAAAGCTGTTCCAAGTTATTGATAGAGCTTGCAAATAGAACAGTGCAAAATTGCAGATAGTGTGTGAAACCAGCCTGTCTGCACATGGGGCTCAGTGTTCTGTTACCTTGCAAATTGTTTCTCCTCTCTGAAAAGGTGTTTTTTGTTTTTGTTTTTTTCAACACAAAGACATTACATTTGGCTTAGTTTCTAAAGATATGTTTGTTTACAAACCTCAAAATGACATCTGGCATTTGGCCTGAGTTTCTAACTCTTACGCATTTAGAAAATATAGTACAATTGATACATTATGTCTCATAAGAGCATGGAAAGAGGAACATATATATCTTCACTTGCTGTGGCCTTCCATGGACACGCCTATGCATAATTAACTAAATTACAATACTACACTCTGTTGATTCATGAGGTTACCTTTTTATTTAGAATCAGCACAATTAGTCATCAGTGTATTGACATTAATACATGGTCATGGAGCTCTAAGGTCTGTGTGTTTTCTGTGCTAACAGTATCTGTTCTCTCTGTACTGCAGTGCAGACTTACCATGGAGCTCTTTTTGCTTTGTGTTAATTTCGGAGTTCCTTCAAATTCAGTGAGGTGCTGTTTTTAGGACAGTCGCTTTTCTGAGTAGAACAAATGGATTTAACTTAGTTTTCTACCTTTAGCATCTTCCTCTTCTCCCATTTCTTCCTAGTTCACCTGTAATGATGAGTTCAAAGATGTCTGCCTACTCTGAAAATTATCGAGTCATAATAAAAAGAAAACCTGTAGCCCAGTGTGGCAAGATCACCCTGTGCTTTTACCATAAACCTCTGTGACTGGATGCTTCTCTTGCAGTTGGAGACTCCACCCCTGCACAGTCTGAAGAAGCAGAAAGCTTCTTGCACCCATATTGTTCAGTAGGTGTCAGCAGATCAGGAAGTGGAGGTGCCCTGTGCCTTCATCCAGTGTGTTTGTCGAACTCATCTGTAGTGGTTTAGCCAGAGAACTGGCATCTTCAGTTGCTACTCAGAGTCTTGACTAAAGGTTTCATTCAGGGCAATACCAGCAGGGTGAGTTGCTGACTTGATTCCATGTCAAGGCTTCCTCCAGAGATTTATTGTTTTGGGGGGTGGAATTATAAAAGAGTAGGGATATGAGCAAAACAATAACCGTGTTCTCAAAAGAGAAAAGTTATTCTAATGTACTTTGGCCAGCAAGAATGACAGAGATGAGCTGGCAATGGAATGTTTGATGGTAGGCTTTGAGGGTTTGTGCCATCATGCCTTAGATCACTGCAAATTAGTTGCTCCCAGAGCTTTCAAAAAGAGGTCAGTCCCTCTTCAGATGAGATGTGAAAATAGCATGTGGAAAAACCAGTTTCCCCAGTGGTCACTCAGTCTTCCCCTCAACATTCAAGGTTACCAGTGCACTTGTCTCTGTTTTCATGAGTGAGTATGACTAATGTGCTTCACGGCTGCCACCAGCCCCCTCCACCTGCTTTGTGCAGGGATGATAGAGTAAAAAGGCCTTGTCTACCTTGTCCTCCGCTTGGCTGGCTGTTGACAGTGCAGGGATGTAACAGGCCAGTTGTGATTTACAGCTTCAGCTGGTTGCTCTGGGCTTCTCTCACATTGGAGGTGTGGTAGTGGGGCTGTTAGAGAAAGAACTGGTTAAGTAACTTCTGGTGGGCTTTGTCCCTCCTGTTCAAATTGCTGTCTCCGTTCTCAGACTCTTGTCCCAGCCTCACTCACATCTTGTCACACTGCTGCTTGGGACTTGAGCAAGTTCCCTGTTCTCTCATGGTGCACTAGATCAGGTACCAAGTTCTGCAAAGCATGGGGGCACCTGTTAAACCCCTATTATACTTTGAAACTTCTACTGCCTTAGGCAGTGGTTTGCTGAACTAGGACCTTGCTCACAGTGTCCTTATTCTTTTTACTCAGCTCTAGGTATCTTCTTGGACTGCCATATCCCTTTTAGTCCAAAAGGGTTTGCTCCAAAGTCATTCCTGTTCCATGGAGTTGATTCCCATACTGCTGGTTATTGCAATTCAGTGGCTTTTCTTTTTCTTGTTTTCATTCTGGGGTTTACTGCAAATGTACAAAACCATACTGACTTTGTCAACTCCTGAACATAGTACAGGGGCCCATCCTGAGGCATCAGAATTATTTGTCTACTCTCAAGGTGCACAGAAACAAGAATTCTCTTAGACACACAAAGAAACCAACTGCATATACACAAGTAGAAAGGTATCTCTGAGTAGAATAGGTGAGGGAGCAGCTTATGAATTTTAAGTATAAAAACAGTAATTGAGGGGGCTTTTTGTTTCTTTTTTAAAAATTGCTTTAACAGGAAGTTAGGTGGCATTTTAAGCCACATAAAGTTGCAAGGTAAACCAAGATTTTCTGTCCATCAGTGCAAAATGTGCCTCTCAACTATAATACAAAGTCAGTATCTGTTGCTCTCTTGTTTGCAATGGAAGAAAATTATCTGAACACTGATTAAATGTGTTTCTTGCTCTTATATATAATCACCCACACAATAGTCCTTGCTGGTCTTTCCCAAGCACTATTCAACACTACCCCTATTTAAAAACAAAATAGAGACTGCATTGAGTAGTGAAAGCTAATGAATTTCCTTGGTTTGAGAGAGACCCTGGAGATAAAAGTCCAGGTTCCATGTGTTTTAAATGTAAGTTTAAACCAATGCAGCTATTCTCTCAGACCAGTACAGCTTCCTACCTTTCCTTCCATTTACAGGAATTTAAAAATAAACCAAGCAATACATGAGCCAGTTGATGTCCTTGCAGGTGGAACATGGTTTTTTGTTTTTTTTTTTTAATTTGAAGATTGAGTGTTCTCTTGTGGAAGAACATTGTGGGTGCAAAAGTGTGGAGCTCAGATTACAGATCTTCCACCAGCTTGTTAATGCAATTAAGTATTCTGGACTCTTTTGAAGAAGACTGTGTAAAAGCTGTGAAGGCATACACTGGAACTGATAATTTTAAATTTTAGGTCATGTGTGTATTGCTTGACTACATGGACAATGTAACAGTGATTTTTATAGATTGGTTTCCACGTGTCAGTCACAAATAATTTGCTGTTTGGAGGAAAACTTTTAGTAGATACATTTCCTGATCAAATTATGAGCCTATTTTCCCTCTTGCTTTAACCGGGTTACTGTGTTCACATGCCAGAAAGATGTTGCTCTTTGAAGAAGCATGTTAGTGTATGTGGCAATGCCCCATGCACTTTTTTAATACCTAGACCTGTACATTCTCATCTGAGTATCGTTAACCATGCTGTAGTCTGACAAATGAATCTTTTACTACTGCCCTGTTACATAGATAATTGTAATTAACTGCAGTTTGTTTTTTTCCACTACTTGAAGTTGTGTGATCTGAAAATTGGTGAACAAAAAGTATTTGTGCATCTTACTATGGGTATCTCTAAATAAAATGTATTTGTATAGTGTATTGGCTTGCCTGATATTTTCCCTTATTTTCTAATATCCCATTGCAAGTAAATCTAGGGCAGTTTGAAAGCAAGTGGGCTTGGGTTTCTTACTGCAACAGTCCAGCCTCTGTGTGGACATGACTGATTCAATGAAAACAAAGTGAACTGTTCTTTTTCATCCACCAGTGAGTGGATGGATAGCCCAAGAGCAGAATCTCAGCTTGTTTTTGGTTTTTTGTGGCCTAGACATTAGGCCTAGTTCTCTGTACAGCTGTAGCAATACTCATTACTTCCATAGGAGATTTATCTATTGGCAGAATTGGGACTATTACACTTCAAGGCATCTCCTTCCTGTTCTCATCATCTGATACCTCATTTGCTCTGAGGCAAGAGTTTCCTTTCAACCACTTTATTTTTCTAAGAAGGACCTACCTCTTAGAACTGTTGAACAGCACAGATAAATGTAGCAGGACAGTCAGATATAGCACTACAGGTTTTAGGCAGATCTTGCATCCGAAAACTGCATCTACATATTTTTATTGTGAGTGAAGAGAGAGTGAAGCCTTCATACAGCTGTCGTATTTCACTCAAAACTGCATCTACATATTTTTATTGCACAGGAGAGTGAAGCCTTCATACAGCTGTCGTATTTCACTGTCTATAAGCGGGAAGGTTATTTTTTCAGAAGAGGAATGTCTGAGACATCAAAGTTTTATGCTGGAGGTTAAAATTCTGTGCCTAAAATCAGCTTCTGCCTCACTGTCCTCACCCTTGGCCTCATCCTGAGAGGCCAGTTTCCATGATCATGGACAAGCTCAAGCTTTGTTTTTAAGCTAGGTGAGAGACCACATCTCCAGCTGCATCATCTCTGCTCCTCATAGTAGGCATTACTGATACTTGTGAATACTGGAAGGGCAGACTTTAAAAAGACACAGGAACACTAACACTGTCATTCCACTGAGGCTTCTAATCAAACTGTTTGAGAGATGCAAAGGAAAACCAAAGCCCCTGGCCCTGGAGACATACAGAAAATAATGGTTTAGAGAGGGCTCTGGCAACCGGGGTTACTAACTCCCCACCAGCCTCAGATGCTCCATTGAGTACAGCATTCAGATGGTGTGGGGCCTGTTAGCTGACTTACAGGACCAAAAATGAGCTCAAACTCCAAAGCTGTTGGTATTAATTGCGCTCCTCTTACATGCATGTCCAGCTTAAATCTCAGCAATAAAAAGTCTAAATTGTCCCCAGGCAACTAATTTCAGCATTAATCTATTTTGTCCCATCACCTGTCTTGCAGGTCCCCTTGCTTTCCCATTCACAGTGCAGATGAATCAGTTTCCTTATATAAGACAGCTTCACCATTTTTGGAGGAAGAGATTTTTATGTTTCATGTCTTCACTCCTTCTGCCAAAAGGTCTAGGTTCCCTAGGTGCTTTCTCACTGGCCATAGTTGGCAGGTGCATGTATGGCCATTGTCATTCCTGTCTGTGGAACCAAAATGAGACCCACTGCACTGCTTGGCCTGGAGCCTGCAGCTGGTCTGTGGTGTTATCAACTATGCCTTCACTCTACGCTACAAACATGTGGCAGTCGACGTTACCCCTTTCAACACTCAATCTGCTGCCTGCCTCCAGCTCCAGCCCAGCTGCTGCAGGTTTCCTTGGCTGTCATCACTTCCCTTTCTTGGGTGTATTTTGTTTCTGATCTCTGTGACTTGGGGTCTCAGCTCTTGCCAGCTGGTTGGCACTGCTGTTGCTCAAGGAGGAAGCCAAACTAGGACAGGACTCAGAATAGTTTCACATTGTTCTGTTAGTTCTTCCTAGCTATTGCTGTACTCATCTTGTCTGTTTCAAAATGAAAGATTAGGATAGTCTTTCAAATACAAGGTGCTTTCAAGGTCCAGTAAATGAATTCATAAATGAGATGCTAGGACATAGTGCTTGAAATGTTTTTTGGGCAAGAGGTGGCCCATTTTTGAGACATTGAAAGTGAGAAAGTTCATAGTGTATTAGAAAAAAAAGAATCTCTGTGCTTTGTCTCCCAGCTTCCTCATTCCCTGGAAGAGGGCTTCAGCCACCTAAAAGGCTCAAGGGACCATGTGGCCAACATGGCTTTTGGGAGGTATGGTTCAGCTGCTCCAAAATACTGCCCTGCACAGAGGGTCTTACTCTTTCGTCTTCACTGAGCTGTACCGAGAGCGGGCAGAGGTGAGAGAGAAGCTACAGGCCTCAAGTGCAGAGCTGTGATCAAAAGGACAGCTAGACATTGCTTGAACTACTTGTGCCAAAGACAAAAACAGAGTGAGGGTCATGTTCCACAGATGCTGAGGTGTCAGCAGAAAGATTTGTAACCCCTGTAATCAGTGCCTGTGGGTTTTCTTCCCGTGTTGTCAAAAGTTTTCGTGTCCTAGGAGTTTCCTCTCTCTGCAAACCCACTGCAGTGCCTGATGCATGTTGAATGTGAAGCACAGAGACTCAGAAATTTCACAGATTCCAGACAACTAGAAAAAATGTGACTAAAGGTTGTCTTTGGGGATGCAGACTGACACTGTTGCTGTAAAACCCCACTCCAATAATTGCAGTGCTCTAGGCAAGTATTCACCTAGGGAGAAATTCTGGCTAATTTCTCCACATATCTGAGCCTCAAGAAAGGTCTCGGAGCCAAAAGCATGAGGAAGGGTTGGTCAGTACTAAGACAATAAGATTCACTTCCTCATGTGCTATGGTGGCAGCCTGTGTACTGCTGCTGAGGGCTGCTGGACACCACACTGCAGCCAGCCAGTGAGAATGCCATCACAGCATTATTAAGCTATAACAATTAATGATCTTGCCACCTGGAAAAAAACACTTCATTTAGATTTTTTTCCTTCCTGGAAATAAATTCTAGGAGTCTTGGGATGTGGAGACTTGCCATGTGTATTTATAGGAGCATTTTTCCTGTTAATTGCAGAAAGCCAGCTTTAGCTTTTTACCAGTATAAATATGCTTTGACTCCAAAAAACCCCCATTGTTCCTGTTACCTGTAGGTTGTTGCTGTTGCACTTGGAGTTTATTTGGTTTTGCGGAAAGCTTTTAGTCCTGTGCTCTGGGCTACTCAACTTGTTGCTTAAAGAGAAGGGATACATCTGGAGCTTGAAAGTGTATTGGTCCCAGGACCTAGGTCACAACACCAGTGACTAGACTCAAGCTGGATTTTGTACCAGTGATCACAACTCAGCAGCTCTGCAGTTCTCAGTGTGACTTCCCTTTCCATAAACCCAGTCTGTAGTCCATCAGTTTGTCTATGAGATTCTTTTAGCAAACACCACTGAAAGCTTTGCTCAAACTGAGCAACATCCCTCTCCTCTTCCCTCGTTTATCAAGGCAGTCATTTCATCACAGAGGGTGACCAGGTCAGCCCAACATGACTTCCCCAGTGTAAATCCATACTGAATACTAGCACCAGTCACCTTCTTGTCCTCAGTGTTTGAGGCTTTGCAGGGCTGGGTGGAGGCTCACCAGCCTGTAGTTCCCTGGGGTCTCCCAAGCTCACTGCTTTGTTCTTGCCATTGCCAGTTGCTGCATCTACAAACAGCTCTTTTAAAACTGAAAACAGATGGCTGACATTTAACCAGAGTTGGCAAATATCCTTGGACACACTATTCAAAACATTCTCCTAAAATCACAGGATAAAAATGCTTGTAATTTATCCTAAGATGAAGTTTAGGGAAAAAAAAACCAAATGGTGCAAATCCAGCTTCCACTTTACAATACTATTAGTTTGTTACCATTCATTACAGGAACCTTTATATTACCTGGAGTAAGGGAGGGTTGGGATTCCACTAGGTTTGTTAAAATCCAACTGATAAAGACAGTAAGTGCTGCAAAGGCAGCGTGCAACAACCGTACAAGGAAGTTTAAAAGACCTTCAGTGATCATCTGCTGCAACTCTGCCCCACCAAGTTATTTAAGAGCTGGCCAAGGAAACTTCTGGCTTCTTGGAGATAATTTAATCTTGGGGAATTTTAAGAGGCAGGAAGCATAACATTGTTAGAGCAGCAACCAGGCATCTGCAGACTACCTTCTCTGATGTCACAGACAAAATAATGGAAAACTGATAAAGGACTAAGATAATTCAAGGCCAGATACACAGGTAATGTCAAACAACAGTGTTGTATGGAAAACAAGTCTGTTAACAACAGTCTGTTTAATTCTTAGAAACAGTTGGCTTGTAGAGGTAACAGTAGGCAGGCACATTAGAGAATGAAATCAGGGAACATGACAGAACAAACTCAGCACTCACCATTAGAAGAGCATGCAATAGACAGGTTAACCCCCACTAGCATCCTTCTTGGATAGGTTTTTAAGCAAGGCTCTGCAGGATCAATGTCAGGCTCAGACATGTGGAACTGTCTTGACAATCTGGAAAAAAATACAGATTGATAATTCAGATGATTCAGATAAATTATTTTCTGGAAAAGATTGAAATAATGGAAAATAGCAGTAAGGTTAAGGTGGTTGTGCAGAACAATTTCAGATTCTGGTCACATGAAAATGTATCACCTTTTTCATACAGTCAAACTACACAGTAAGAAAACTTGGACCAAGGTCTGCAGGGACCACCTGGAGAAAAGGGTCATCTCCAGGGACACACTGACTCTAAAGAATTATCAAGCAGCCCAACACAAATTCCAAGGATGATGCGGAGACATGATGGACTAACAGCAGCCCATGGATGTTAGGAATCAAATGGCCTGGGCTTTAGGAAGGCTGGGTGCAATGACATCATTATCCTTCCTGCCTTCACCAAGTGAATGGTATCTCTAGGAGAAGTGCTTGCTTCCATAATGTAAATGGCAACTCTTTCAAGTACAATTGTTGTGCAAGCTCTTCTTGTGTAGGCATATCAACACAATCTAACACATTAGATCCCATTTCCTGGCAGCATCCCACAAGCTTCACCCCACATCTAAATGCAGCAGCAACCCCAGCTATGCCCAAAGATAACATCTGTTGTTATCAAATACTTGTAACAGTTCTCTTGAGAGAACTCCACTTTGCCACCAAAATTTTTAATTGTTCCACTATACCTAGGGAGAATTCCATATTGTGGCATCCCCCCCTTAAGGAGAAGGGAGCTCCTAAGATTCGCAGAGCCTTGTGGACAAAAGAAACAGCAAAAGTCAGGGCCCACAAATCTTGCAATGTTTAATTAGTAGATTACACGGTCTGCATGGAAACTCTTGTATTAGTCTCTAACGTCCTATAAGCACACGGCAGTGGGTTTGAAATAAAGGAGGGAGGTTTAAAATAAAAGGGAAGACAGAAAGAAAGAGAGTTGTATTAAAAAGGAGGAGAAGGGAAGGGACAAAGAGAGAGATCAGCAGTCCTGGGTCCATTGCTGATGCAGATGATGGGGTGTGCAGGGTCCAGGGGTGCACACACAGGGTCCTGGGCTTTGTGGGGGTACCCTTTTCTAGATATGTTTCCCTGCACTGGAGGTAAGTTTCTCCCCTTCTGTGTAATTTAGTTACCGTGGAAATGGGTTGGAGGCTTCAGGGTATTTGGTGGTCTCCATATCCTCCTACATGCCTGCTTCTTCACCTCACTCCTACACTTGCGCTGTGTTGTGCTAACCTCCAGGGGCCAGGATAAGGATGTTTGTCCCAGAAAAGTGCAGCTCTATCTCCATGTTCCTCCTTCTCCAGCCACATCCTGTTCATTTTCCCAGGGTGTTATTGCTAACGATCCCTGGCTGCTAGTACCAACAATCCTTGTTTGGCTCCACAGGCACCTGGCTATCAGTGTTTGAGATTAGCCCCATTATATTCTGGGCTTCTACACAGACTCCCTGCAAACTCAACTCAAAGCTCAAAGTCAAGAGTGGGTTCTTTATACTGAGCCTCTCCCTTGCAGAGCTTGTGGACCTGGATTTTGTTGACTTTCTGAGGCTAGTGCAATATATTTCGGAAAAAGGTAGTGCTGTTGAAGAGATGTCATCAGGGTCAGGGCTGTGAGACCAGTTTGCAGCAAAGAGTAATATTTTATTACACGAAGTGATGTAAAAAAAAAGAAAAAAAAACCCAGGGTACAAAGAAAATAAAAACTTCCGAATAAATAGCAAAAAAACTGCTCTGAACTTCAGCTCAGTCAGACCAATTGTCCAATTAGCCTGAGGGGAAAGGGTTGCTAGTGTGGAAAGTGGAAGAGAGCATTAGCAACAGGGAAGATTGTACTGCCTGAGCTTGTCAAGAAGAGATGGTTTTACTGCAACACAAAAGTAGAAGAGATTCCTGAATTAGGAACAGGGTGATATTGTGAACACAAGCAGTTTTCCCCATTCACAAATGCAGTAGGGAAGGAGAATGCCAAAGCACCAGAACAGTGGTGTCCAGCCTGTGGTATGTGAACTGCAGCCTATTTCAGAAATCTGCAGAAAGGGACTGAGAAAAACAATCCTGCAGTAGGCTGAAATAGCCTATCTGGATTTGCACCTGCACCAGACTGTTATTTACTGGCTGGAAAACTGAAGAGGTTGCAAATCCTTGTAACAGCAGATAAGAATCCTGACACAGGGAGTAGGCAGAACTTGCCTGCTATGCCTGGTCAAACCTCCGCAGTGTTTAGTGCAGGGTCTTCTCTTCAAGTCTGATATATGAATCACAGGATCATTTAGGGCAGAAAAGACACCTGAAAGTGAGTCCTGTGACTGACCAGCAACTTGGCAATTAGAACACAGCCCTAAGTATCACGTCCAGTCATTCCTTGAACACTCCTACCACCTCCCTGGGCAGTCCATCCAAATGCTTCACTACCTTTCAGTGAAGAAATTCCTCCTGATCAATATTTGGAGTGCAGGTCTTTGTTCCCAAGCCTCTACCAGTTTATTCCTTTAGCTCTCCTCTGGAAGCTTTGTCAGTGCAGTATCCCATTTTCTCATTTATATTTTCTCCATGTACAGCAGCAAGTGTCTACATCACTTTGGTTATGGTATCCCTGCTCAGTTTTCTCCCATTCCAAATGCTCTTGGGCTGGGTTCTGTGTGATTTTCAGAGACACATTCCAGCTGGCACTACACCATCTGACAACAGCATCCCAAGAGCTCTTAGCCTTTGTTGTTTTGTGCTGCACACCAAATTTCCATCTTGATTATCAAAGGATTGCCAAGCCATGATGGAAGACTGCTAACAATAGTGATTAAATCCACAGATTATGGAGCTGCAGACATGTTTGTCACAAAGCTTGTGAAACTTTGTTTACAGCTGTAATTAATTGTTCCCCTGCTATCGTAATAAAACAGAATATCAACAGCTGCATCAAGAAAATCAACAATACCTGTGTACTATTTGGTCTGAATTTCAGTTTAGTTCAAAGGACCCTCTATCTTACTGAGAAAAAACAAGAACAGGCAGACCTTGCAGCTCCTCAGCAGTAGAATCTGTTGCAGCTCCTGCCCATCTATGCAGTAAGTGTCAAGGATGCAGACTGACTAGATCTATCTACTCTATGCACAGAAGGCAGAAGCACGAAAAACACAGATTAATTTTTATATATTGTTTAAGGTAAAATCAGATTTCACGCCCTCTCTACTTACATGGAGAACATGGGCTTAGGGGACAGAGGATGAGCAGTAAAGGATATCAGACCACAGCAAAGGTCAAGGACCATGGGACATCATCACTGGTGGCACCAGGGGCTGAACAGTCTGCACACCACCTTCACCAGCCCTGCCTGCTCAGCACCAAAGACCAACTTCCACACAGGGTAAGTAAGCCTGGCTTTAATATGCCAGGGCTTCAATGATGCCCAAAGGGTAAGGACCACTGCATTCTCAGCAACCAGAGGTGCTGTACACAATGGAAAAAATACACAGCAGGAAAAAGCCTAAATGGAAGAAATGTTTTTGGTTTTGTTTGTGTTTTTTTTTGGTTGTTTTTTTTTTTTTCCCCTCCTCCTGACTCACAACCCAAAACTCATCTCAGGAGTCAGGTTTTATTGACTATCCTTTCTTGCCACCTGTCCTGTCATCGTTGAGTTTAGACTGCCAGAAGTTATACCAAGTTCTCCAACACAATTCTGCTGTGCCAACCCCTCCTTATTCTCCATTAATCCCCACCACACTGTACTTGACTATCTCCTCCTGTAGTGAGGCTATCTTTTGTCCTGGAGTTCTCCGTGTCAACAGGGTGCCTCCCTGTGTCCATGCTCTCAAAAGAAGGAGACGTTTACATTAATGTAAATGCAGAAATGCCCTGCTCCTAATCCACCCAGGTCACTCACTGGGCCATGTCATGGTATCCCTCAGAGGGGCTTCTCCGGGGGTCCCTCACGCGGTGTCCCTCACAGGGTCCCTCACACGGTTCCTGAGAGGGTTCCTCAGCGGAATCTTCACATGGGCTCTCATCGAGTCTCTCGAGGCGTTCCTCAAGAACTCGTGGATTAATTCCCACGGCCCCTCCCGGGGGGACCTCTGGGTGTCCTTTACTGGGGTCCCTCAGGGGGTCACTGACACGGCCCTGAGGGAGATCCCTCAGCGGGGCGCGGGGGTCCCTGACACGGCTCCAGGAGGGATCCCTCACTGGGTGCGGGGGTTCCCTCACGCGCCCCCGGGGAAGTGAGGGAACCCCGCCCCGCGCGCGCCGAGGGAGGGGCGGGCGCCCGGTCACGTGAAGGCGAAAGGAAGGGGCGGGCCTTACCCCCCCGGCGCGCGCCGCTCACGTGGTCACCGGGAGGCAGAGGCGGAAGAAGGCGCCGGTGGATGGGCGCGCGCGGGCGGGTGCGCGAGGGGCGCGCGGGGGGGCGGGGCCGCGAGGCCGCGCGCGAGCGCGTCGCGTCACGTGGGGAGGGAAAACGGCCCCGCGCGCGCGTGGAGGAGGAGGAGGAAGGCGGAGGTCACGTGACGGTCGCCCCGCGGGCCCGGCCCCGCTTTGTCCGCCCGGCGGTACCCCGCTCCGCGGGGACGGTCGGCGTCCTCCCGGGCCGCCCAGCCCCGGCCCGCCCGCCGACGGGTTGCGGGGGGACGCGGCTTTGCCCTACTTTCCGTGGCGGCCGCCCCGGGGAAGCTTCTCCCTGGCCTAGATCGCCGTCCCCCCCGCCCCCCTCCCCTCCCGCTCAGCAGGGCCGCGGGCGCGGGCAGCGCCCACCTGGCTGGGGAGGGGGCGCCCGCTTGGCCCCGGGAGAGGTGGGTTCTGTCTGCTCCCGCTGACAGCCGCGGGAGGGGGTTGGAGGTGCTGGTCTCCCTCCGGCTCGGGGGCATGAGAGGAAAGCGGGACCAGCTGGAGGAGCGGGGCTGGCGGCAGGAGTCAGGCCAGAGGGGAGGTGGAAGCTCGAGAAGTGAGCAAGTGGATGATGAAGTATCGATCTATGACTTTTTCAGGGCTTTACTTCCATGTTGTCGTTGCTCATCCCCTTCCCGGGTATTCCCTGGCTGGTGGTGGGGGGGTCACACCTACGGACAATAACGTATCAGCAGGTACAGTGGGTTACTTGAGGACATGGCAGTGAATGAACCGTTCCCTCTGTTAGCCTCCTCCAATTTAGTCCTTCCTTGCCATCGGCTGTGTGTGGTTGCATGGAATTGGGTGTCACGGCAGGGCTGACTTATGTTGCCTTTAAAAACAACAAAACCCTCTTCTGCAATTTCTCCTGCTGTTGAAGAAAATTGCAGCGGGGAAGTGAACTAGTAGGGATTCCTGTGCAAGAAGCTGGATGTAGGAAGGACCTGGTGCGTGTTTGAGTCTAAAGACAAGGGTCTGAACTCTCTGATGTGGAATAGGTTTAAAAGCTTGTGCTGGAATGTCTGCAGTGCTGTTGGATGCCACCTGGGAGCAGGGTGGACTGGTTTGAAGCTTCTCTCTTGGAAGTGTGTTAGCACCAGGAGTGTGGATGGGCACCCCTGGTTGTGTTCAGAGGAGCAGGGTGTCTTGTGGAGCAGATACTCAGGGATTTTTCTCCGTAGCAGAAACTATGGAGCTCTGTGAAGAAAAGCTATGGAAGGGAAGTGGAGGGGCTGTCCTGGCCTGAGAGCAGCTGGTTTTTTCCAAGTAGAGAAATTGGAGCTGGATGTGAGGGAAGGGAAGGGAGGGGGAGCAGTGCTTGCTATTGAAACAGAGCCCTTCACAAAAAATGGCAGCAGCTCAGCATCCTGGCTTTTGCTTTTTTAATATTTACCAGGCCCTTTTAGAAATTCCCTTGGTTGTATCACGTTCTCTAGTGGAATCTGGGTTTGGATTCCTACCTGGCTGACTCAGTATTTATACCTGGACCCAATCTCCCTGCAGTGGTTTGACCTAACTTCTTTAAAGAATTTATTTTTAACCTTACACTAGGTAACTTGAAAGCAGGCAAGGCTAAATCACTTTGCAGGTTTAATGATGTTTTGTGACTCCTGGAAATGAGCTGGCTTCTGTTTTTATGACCTCAATAATCTTGGTAATCTTGGAGGTGGGCATGAGTGGGAATTGGACAAGCTCTGTTCTACTACTATTCGTACTTTTATCAGAGTGTTGATTTTGAAAACTGTCTGTAGTAAAAAAATCATGATATTACTGAAATTTAGACTGTTTCAGTTGTTTTGGCCCATTCTCCATAAAGCTCCTGGTGCCATGACTTACAGAAAGGTTTGCTTGTTTGAGGGGACATGGAAGCTACAGCCTCACCACTAAGATCTAAGGAAGCTAGAGGGAAACCAACAAAATAGTCTTGTCTGTTACCAGAAGCTGTTAGTTTTAAACTTTTTTTTGTTTGTTTGGTTCTTCCATTTTTTTTGAAGCTGCTGTTCTAGAACCTACAAGTAGATTGTTGATGCTCTATATTTCTTCCATGAACTTTTATTTTAGGTGATTGTTTCCTTGTAAAATGCCATTTTTTGGCATTTATGCTTTATGTTTGTTGCTGGTGTTGTCCTATTGATATTGGTCATAGCAGAGTAACGTGCTGGTGAGCAGTGCTTAAAAGGTGTATGTGTCATGTACTGTTAATGCTCTATTAATAATCATCACTGAGAGTCTTACTATTAGTAGTAATGCTTACATGCAGTTTCAGTCACATTTAGTACCGGTACTTAGAATAGGAGCTTCATGAAAGACTAGGAGTAAAATTTCAGACCTGTTACGAATCTTTTTATTTGTCTTCATTTCTTATTTGGTTGAAGCACAGGGGCAGGACTCTGTACACCGAGTTCAGTGCTTTGCAACAGCCTTGTGTGGGCTTGCTGAAGGAGAAGCCAAGTGACTCGTCCCCTTGGTAAAATACAGATTAGAGAAACTGTGTTGTATTTGTATACTTCAGAATTATGGAATGGAAGGTGCTGGAGGAATTACAATTGATATGCACTGCGATGTTATTCTGCTACAGCTTTTGGTGAATTTTAGGTTTATTTCTCATACAGTCTGTTTACTTGTAGCCCATTGGGTCCTCTGTGCTTTTCAGAGAAGACCTAGTTTGGACTTGCACTGTTTTTAATATAACTTCCCTAAACAGGTTACATTCATTAAAGTGAGAGTTGGGATGAAAGGTTGTGAAATGCCTCCTTTGCAATTACTTCAGGTTCATATTTTACAAAAACTGTACAAAGGGTTTGTCTGTTTTGCTCTAACATGAAAGTCCACACTCTTTGATTTTGGCCATCTGCGCTGGGAGTCTGTTGGAACTCCCCATCCGCCTGGGGCTCCTGCAGGGCTGTTCCTTCCACAGGTGTGGTACCCTCAGCCTTTCTCTCCCCATTACTTCTCAGTGCTTCAGGGAGTAAACAGGGACTAAAGACAGGCAGTTTAAAGGTGGTATGGTCTGATGCCTGAGATCTCATGGCTTGCTCAGCCTGCTTTTACTACATCATAAATATTTTGCTGAGCATATTGTTTTACTTAAGTTCTCTTTAGATAGTAAAACCTGTAAAATAGGTTGTGTGAACAACTTAGTGCAGCTCCCTTGGATGGAGTTGTTTCTATTCTCAAAGCTATTGAAATTCTATTTCTTTTTGTCCAGCTTTCTTTGTGGAACCTCCACAATATTGTGGCTTCTTTTGAAGGTGAAATTGTCAAGCTTTTTTTTTTTTTTTTTTCCCACTCTCTTCCCAGGCATCTTAAATCAGTATTCCAACAGGTGAGCTTGGAGGACTCCTTAACCTGGCTGAGTGTAGCATTTTGCATTAAAAACAATGAAATGTTTCCCATGTTGAGAGATCTTTGATCTTTCTTGAGACTTAAGGTTTGCCTGAAGTAATATTCCGATGGTGAACTCTATGGTTTTGTTTTTCTGCAATATCATACAGGGAATACAATTTTCTGCTGTAGAAGATGCATGTTCAATGGAACTGGTGTTGCAGAATCATTCAGTGTGTGAATCTACAATTAAATGAAGAAAATACAAATACTTTGTTAACCTCCAGATTTGAATCACCAGGTTGTACTTTTAAAAACTGTTTCATTGTGGGGAGAAAAATGCTTACCTCAGTCTTTTAGGCCACCCTGTGCTTGAAGGTGTAGGATTTGAATTCACTAGTTATGACCATGCTCCTAAACATTTTTAATGGTTAGCTATAGAGAGAGGAAGTCTTTATGCATTTTTGTTGCATCTGGCATTGGTTTAATCTAGAACATTTCATTTGTGTTTCGTACTACTAAAATAGTGTTTCTGGAAGTATGATGATACTTTAGAGACTGTATTTAGATTGCTTTTGAGGAAGGAAAACACATTCTACTCCATTTGTTTTGTTTAGTGGTTTGAGGGTGGTGAATGTATAGTGATATGGAATGAAGCATATGGCTTCAGAAACATTTTTGCTTCCTGTTCCAGTTTGTTTTTAAATGTTAACTGAATTGTGGCTATTTTGTCCTTAGTACTTGGCTTTGTACTATTTCATTATCTATGTTTTTTCCAATTTGAAAGCTATTGCTGATTTATTTTTTCTCTGCTTTTCTTTGATTTTCAAAATCTTAAGTTGTCTTACACACAGTTTCAGCAACAGGAATCTGAAAGGAATCTGGGTGCCAAACCTTGCACTACTGTTGAGCTGTACATAGTATGTTGTATTCAAGAAACTCTGGTCTATGCATTTGATGGGTTGTGCCCCAAGGGATGGATGTGTGCTTTTATTTCAGCTTTCAGTCACACATTCTGGAGATCACTGACTTGTGATCCATTTTTGAGACTGACATAAGGGAGACCTAAGTTAGTGATGTTAACTTCGGGTGACTAAGTGTGATGAGGGGGAGCAGTACTGCACTTCCTGGTCTTGTGCTTCACTTTCTTTTATTAGCCACTGAATGAATTTCTGCATGGTTTGAACATGGGTGAAGTGCCAAGGGGTAGCTGTCTGAAATTTGTTTTAGAGAAAGATTGGAATAGACTTATGAGGTTGGTGAAGTTAAGTTCATAAGTACATAAAAGTGTTTGTTTTATCCTAAGTATTTGAGAAAACACTTTCTGGTACATATTTTCAACCTGTTTGGTTTCTTTGCTGTTTCTTGATCTCCAGATTAGCAGCAATGCCCAGGAACTCTTCTTTGCATCTTAGAAAAAGATGGTTATTACCTTTTTGAATAGTTCTCTGTTATGACTGCAAGTATGAAACTAATTTCAACTCCAGTTTTTGTTGTTTACCATTTGGTGTAGTAGTGTATGTTTCTGGATTTTGTCCCAGTTACTTCTAGCCTACCTGATTTAATTGAAGATTCTCTTGATTTTCTCTATACTACTGTTGGAGCAGAAATATTAGAGCTTAAGAATTGTCTCTAATGAAGCTTGTGGGGTGCTTTTGATAACAGCTTTTCTGTTAAAGGATTTTCTTGCCTTTTTACTTCACTTCATTATGGGCTGGCCTAGGCTGACAGGGACTTGCGGAGGTGTTGTAGTCTCCCCTTGCTCAAGCAGCACCATTTACAGCAGGTTGCCCTGGACTGTGTCTGAATGTGTTTTCAATATCTCCAGTGGAGACTCCGCCACCTCACTGGGCAACCTGTGCTGTGCCAGTGCTTGGTTGCCCTCGAGGCACAAAAGGGTTCCCTGCTGTTCACAGGGAGCCTCTTGTGTTTCAGCCCTTTGGCTCTGGTCCTGTCCCTGGGCACGCTGAAAACAGCCTGGCTGTGTGCCTTTCCTTCAGGTACTTGGACATATTGGTGAGGCACCACATCCCTCACAGGCTTTTTTCTCTGGGTTCAGCTGCTTGGCATAGTCACATCT